CAAAGGCGTAGTTTGCTTGCCTGTTCATCATACCAAGATGCGTGGCAATCTAACAACAGTCCACGGATCGTGTACTTTGCAGACAATGACGACAACGACGACAACGCAGGTGAAGATAAAGACACACAAATGATGATAAGGACGATCATTGTATTCTGATGATGGTAGTGATAATGGTGATGGTGATGGTGACGGTGATGATGATGAGGATGAGATGATGACGTTTATTCATGTCCCTTGCCGCTTGCCAGCCTCACTCGGAACTGGACACCCGCAAAACTAGTTTTCTACAATGGGCTGCCTCAAATTGGCTGCGCATGGGCTATTTCTATCCCTTCTAATTCATCCAACATCTTCTAACTGGAGGTTTGAAAGGTTCATAGCAAAAACTGAGTGGGTTCCTCACCGGCTTTTGGGTGGTTCGGCTTTTCAAGGCGCCCATGTCTGGCCCAACGGCCAGGACCTGCCTCGGAGGCGAGGGGCTTCTGGCCAAGATGCTGCCGAGGCCTGGGAGCGGCAAGCAAACCGCAGCTGGAAGTCTGAGCGGAACTCAAGTCTAGGTCCTCCAGTAGAGAGGCGAGGGTTTAGGGCGCCAACTTGTTTTCCTTCTATTTTAGGTTTGAACCCTCCCCCAAGAAAAAAACGCTAAAAGGGCAGTACTGGGGTTTGGTAGAAAGTGGGTTTGAGTAGACAGTTACCCTCACTCCCACGTTGCCATGGCATGACAGGTTACAAGAGGAACATGATCTTCCGGGTACCCTCCCGCGGGTGCTATGTTAGCGGAAGGAAGAGTAGGGGAATTTGGGCCAAGTTGCCGGGCAACTTGGCCACTTCCCATGCCTTTTTCTCCCCCATTTGTGTATGGCCATCTACTTGCAAACTACGTAAGTGGGGGGGTGACTACCAATCTTGCAACCTATTTGTAAATAGTAGTGACCAATACACCATATTGATAATTTTTAAATATTGCGTCAACATGTCCTCAATATGTCCACCGAAGGGGGGGGGGGATGGGGGGAGTCAATAAGTCCAAAGGTCACTGAAGATTAAACCAAGCGGCTATCTTGCAAATACCAGGCCCTACTTTGGCTTAGTATGGCTCGCTGACTGGTGATCCAGGATCATTTCTTCGCATGTCATTTTTTGTACAAAGGCTCAGGTCCTATTTACCAGTCTTCCGTGGCACTCTGTCACCGAGCGATTTGCTGAACCAGTCCGATGCCGGTGATGACACTGTAGGTGAGCTCACCTCAGACACGCTGTCAATGGTTTGAAACTGCCAGCCAGAAGCCCTGGCCATGGGCTACCCCAACAGGAACATCGTCTTTCAAAGCCCTGTCAGTACCGTGGTTGCTGAAGGCAGGGCATCCTAACGTTGGACAACTCATTGAAAAAAGAATGTGTTGAGAGCCGAAATGAGGCCGCTCTTCCACGGATTTCTAGGCGAGCGGACGAAAACATCGCGTCTGGACACTAACGAGCCCATGGGAAACTTGGCCGCGCCCGCGTCTTCAACAGCAGAGTGTCTGGAGCCTCCGTGACTACATGATTTTTTCTTCTGGGGCTTGATTCCTTGTCCATTCTTTTCGACCATGCTTCGGTTTCAGAACCGAGGTGCTTTTTCCTGGGATTCTGGAGGTTTTCCAGAAGGATCCCTGGAAAGAATGGGGAAGGACAAGGCGTTTAAGAGTCATGGAGACTCCAGATCGTCATGTGCGACTTGCTCAGCTCCTGAGCAGCCAGCCACAGAGTTGCCTCGGTCGTCCGGCGATCAGAGTTCCTCTTGCAGGGGTCCCCATTGGTTAACAAGGGAAACCAAAAGAAAGGAAACCAACGATTTGTGGGACCTGTTCCCATCTAGAGACAAACCCAAATGCTTTGGACCCTTTTCTTCGGGGGCCTGCCCAAAACCATGCTGTTGCACGCGAAAAAACTAAAGCCCGGAGTGTCCATGCGCAAGTCCCCTGTGCGGATTCCGCCACTTCTCTTTGAAAGTCGCGCATGTCCTTGAGCGTACCCAAGACAACCCCTAGGACTCTAGAGATGCATCAATTCGATTTGATCTTCTACACCCTGCCTGAAGCGGATGGTCCTGATTCCAGGGATACTCCAGGGTTGGCCCATCCTGTTTAAACACGTTTCTCAACCTCTTCAAACCGCTACTGGCCACGCCAACTTCCCTTTAAAGGGGTCTAGGGCTGACTTCTTCAGCCCGATTTTGCCCAAGCCCGCGTGGCTATCGGAACCCCCAAACACCAAACAGGCGCTGTTCCGTTTGTACAAAACGAGGCTTCCCCCCCAAACAAAAAGACACGCCTGCACTCCCGGAAAAACCGCTGGCGATTTCTTTTTGCCGGTCTCCCGGCCGGCGGATGTGCTGGACCCACCTGAACGGCTACTCTTCCTGGCACCGGCGAAGTCGACTCGATCTCGCAAACAACAAACATTCGTAGGTCAACATTTTAAAGGTATAAGGGGTTGACCCAAAACCCTGAAACCAACATCTCACATGTAAAAGGAGTTGACCCAATACCCTGAAACCAACATTTCACATGTAAATGGAGTTGAGCCAAGACCCTGAAACCAACATTTCACATGTAAAAGGAGTTGACCCAAAACCCTGAAACCAAAATGTCACATGTAAAAGGAGTTGACCCTATACCCTGAAACCAACATTTCACATGTAAATGGAGTTGAGCCAAGACCCTGAAACCAACGTTTCACATGTAAAAGGAGTTGAGCCAAGACCCTGAAACCAACATTTCACATGCAAAAGGAGTTGACCTCAAACCCTGAAACCAACAATTGAAAGGGACCCAACACCCTCAAACTAGCCTTACTTTAAAGGGAAATCGCCACATTTGGCAATACCCATTTTGGGTACATACCGAGGGTCCAGGTAAAGCCCCAAAGCCCAAGCTTAAAGCTTCAAGGTCCTTTTTTTGGGAAGCTGCCCATTTCCCATGACCCTTTGGGACCATCTTTGGCCTGGGTTTCTAACCTGAATTAGACATTCAAGGACACTTTCCCGATTTTTTTCTTCCCACGACATGGGCTTCTGCTCGAGGGTCCAAGTACCTTCTAAACTGGTACTTTAAACCCCTTTTTGCCCCCCAAAAGCCATCCTCAGAAGGTACTTGGACCCTCTGGGCTTTACAGAACAAAGCATGTGAAGAAGGCAGTCGAGAGGAAGAAAGCTGAAGCCTTTGGAGCCTCGGAGCAATCAAAAAACCACGTCACAAGACATGGGTGTCTCGTTCGCCCTCGAAATGGGGGGTCTCGACGACCCATTTGTGCTACACTTGAGGAGTTTCACATAGGGAGAGGAAATAGCTGGTTCCCAATTTTGAGCGAATCAATATTCCGCCTTTCCTTCAGGCGGACATTCCACTTCCGACACTCTCGAACAAATCCTTGGCCCAAATGCACCATTCCTATGGTTGTCAGGGGCCCCCCAAAAAGAGGACCCCCTAGTAATGCCCAAAGAAACCCTATTAGCCCCTAATAGACCCTATTGGGATTGGGGGGCCCCTATTGCGGGGCCCCTTGACAACCGTAAATAGGAGGGAAGGAGAAACGAAATGAAAGCCCCTCCCCCCACATAGGAACCATAGATTCCATTACCAACTTTGCACTGCCATTGCTACCTGCATTGCGCGCCCTGGAACAGAAACAGCCTGGTCGATTTGTTTGGCTGCCAGCAGGCTGAGGATAAGGAACTGCCAAACTTACAAGGCAAATGTGGCCAGCTGGCCAGTATTTAGGAATATATATATATATATTTATACACGTATATATATATATATATTGATCCATACATACAAATATGCATATTGAACATATCTGAGGTGCAGGTGAGCTTGTTCTGCGTCCACTCTACTCGGTGCGTGTTTCAAAAGTCGGGACTGATGTCTACTAAGGATTTGCGAGAATCCTTCAAGGCATCTAGAGTCAGTGGACAACCCACGCGACATTCCAAGCCCGCCGGGGCTGGCGACTGCGAGCATTGAGCCTGGCAGGCGGGCATTGAACTTGGAGATTGGTGCCTGGAGTGTTCAAACCGCCAATCCCTAGTCCTCATCAGCAAAAAACAACAAATAACATGTAGTGGGATGCCGCTAGGCAAACCACGATTGTCTGACATAAGGACTACGGACAACATTGGGAACCCATCCAAAAATCCATCCATGTTTAGAGGAAACTCCTTTGGAAGACCCCTGCTTGTGTTCCATGTTATGCAGGCGAGAAATCATAGTTGAACACCCCAGAGTGCAGTGGCCTGTTGCTTTGCTCTCGTCTGAAAAGGGGGTGGCTGTGCGCACTGGACCGAGGGATCAAAAAATGTGTTTGTCTTTCTTTGGCAGCATCCGGAAGACTGAACCCTGCTACTAGCCTGTGATGTAAGTAAAGCGTTGCCCAATCCTAATCCATAGTCCCTGTTGAAAAACCATTAAGGCGCCCAAATCCGTTTGCAACCCACCATCACCCCCAACAACGGCTTTTTCCCCATGTCCAAAATCCCAAGCATACCTTCCAAAAAGCGGTTTGGGGGGCGGGGGGGGGGGTAGGAAGGATCTTGCGGATTGAACAGCTCACACGGCATGCGCCAGAGTTCTCTTGGGGTCCAAGTAACTACCTAGGCTTTGACTTGGATCCCAAGTAAGTACAGACCAACAGAGATGAGCGTTCAAGACAAGCTATGGGCGATTGTTGTAACCGCCTCTGGCCTTTCAGCCAGCCTTTTTGTTTGACAAAGCTGCCGCAAGGGATCGACACATCAGGTGCTTTGACGCACATAGCTCAACTTCTGTCCTTGCCTCCTTCGGCTGAGCCTCCTTCTGGACACTTGGGCCGCTGGGCCTGTTGGGACGGGTCAGCAAACCCCCGATCCAACGAACCTGGTTTGGTACAGGATCCCCAGTTTGAGGCCCAAAATCCTTATGGTTCCCCAAGGTGAAAGCGACTTGGCCTCCAAAGCCTCGGTTTCATCTGAGGAAGAATCACCACTCCACTAAGCTTTCCGTACGCATCCGCCTTTGAAGCCATTTGCGAGTCGGAAGCCAGGCGCCCCTCACCACTTTTGACTGAGTCATCCCACGTTGCCGGGTCACGTAATGCAGTCTTGGCGTTTCTGCACTGAGCCAAGCGGGTGGTGGATAAGACGCTAAGACATTCTATTATTACATCTTCGTGCAAAAAAAAGAAGAAGTAAACAGCCTGGCCCGGGAATGCTTGACACAACTTATGGTACCGTTGTATGTGTGTGCGTTTGCCCTTTTCAGCTTGGTTCAAAGCACAACCACAATATGTTTTTTTTCAAAAGACCCGCGTCTTGGCTATCCCCCCAATGCCGCTGACTTCTTTTTTCCGCCGGCTCCAGCTCGATCCCAGGCAGCCTCACAGCGGACTGAGATGCCTGTCTGACTCGTTTTCCCAGCTTTTCATTCGGAATATCGTTTGGTTGGTGTTAAAAGGAAACCAACAGAAAACCTACCACTATCTTTTGGTGGTCTATGTTGAGAAACACCCATTTACGTCTGACGTTGGTTGATGTGTGAGCCTCACATGCCGAAATAAAGCCCAGTGTTCTGGCTGCCCGGAAGCGTCTTGGCTTCACCAAAGAGAAGGCTTGGAGTATATCTGCGCCACTCTGTCAGAAAAAGGAGATGAGATGAAGGGGTCAAACAAAAAACTGGATTTCAGAAAAGCAGGGCCAACAAAGGACATAGCGAATTTATGCGAATTTCTGACACGGAATATGCTGCATCTCGAGATGCGGTAGGGATTTGGCTAGTCGTGTGGTTCCTGATTGCAGTGGGTGTTGACCCTTCATTTGAGCTCAAAAACATGTAGATTGCAGCCAAGCTCGGCAACTTGCCCTGCGGGGTTCCAAACTTTGGACACGCGTGTGACATACCAGTCATGGGGCCGGGGGGGGAGGGAGGGGAGGCGGAGGGAGCCCAAATAATTCCTAAATAAAATCTGATTAAGGGCTAAATAAGAGCCTATTTGGGCTCCCTCCCCCTCCCCTCCCTCCCCCAAGCCCCATGAACCAGGGCTCTTCGGGCTACTTTCACCGAAGCTGCCCCGCCTCTGCTCGCGCGCGCAGAGGCTCTCGGCGCCCTGCCGAGAATTCATGGGGTGCAGAACCTCCAAGTGGCATGCCAGAAACTGGAAGCTGTCCATTTGCTGAAGCCACCTGGAAGAAAACAACAACATTATGTCCAGTGGTGATAGATTCCCTTTCGAACCAACGGGGGGAAACAAAAAACATATTCCTTTCAGCAAATGGAAGCTATTGCCACTTCCTCTCCTGGCCTGCGAATATTCTAAAATACCAGTTGGTCATGTCACTTGCACATGTCCCTCCCCAAGCCTGAGCGAATTGGGGACGGGACCCATGACAACTACCAGCTTTCAGAAGCCCATGGAGACTTCAGGCGATTTTGCCCATTTGAATGGACTTAAATCTATGGTTTCCATATGGATTGGAGCATATCGATTTGATAAGACGTATACACATACATGCCTATCTATCTATTTGGTGGTTGTTCTAAATTCCTTTGTCTCGAAACGGCCGTTCTTCGCAAATAGAAAAGTTACTTTCGCGAATCTTTCGCGGATTCATCGCCGTGCACTTTTCATTGCTCAAGTGGGGAAGTCGCAGCTTTTAAGTACCGGTTTAGTACGCGAAATAAAGTCACAACGTTTCATCGCAAGGGTGGTACATGATATGCACTTCTGCGGCTCCAGCTGGAAAGTCGCAACTTTTCCGTACCAGTACACGAAATGCACTTCCGCAGTTCCAGCAGGAAAGCCGCGCAGCCCCAGCTTGTAGTTGCAACTTTTCAGTACCAAGCTAGTACTCTGACTAGCGTGGCGCTCAGAAAGTACCTCCCCTTGCAATCGAAGCCTGCGCTTTCGCGCGGGCTTTCGCGGATCTTTCGCGCAACATCACTGACGGTTCTAAAGCCACCGACCAACACCCGCACACCTGGAGCACTAACCAGCGAAGCAGGGTATCAAACTGTAGCGTCACCAGGCTTTATCAGGGGACAAACAACAAAATGTTTTAATCAGCTTAGAAGGAAGATTCAGCAGAAAAGATGAGTGTTTTCACATATTACTGATTTACAAGATGCAGCTACGCAAAACTTTCCCGAACAAACAAGTTACTTTCGCAACTCCATCGCGAATCTTTCGCGACATCAAACTTTCGCGGAGCAAACTCCTTACAAGGACCTTTAGAACGACTAGATAGATTCAATCTACCAATCTACCTGTCTATTCGATTTATCTATCAATTCATCAATCTATCGATCTATCGATCTATCAACCTATCAATCTATCAAGCTATCAAGCTATCAATCTGTCAATCTGTCAATCTATCAATCTATCCATCCATATACATATATATATATAGTCGTCTCTCTGCCTATATATATATATGTACTGATATGTCTATGTATATTCACATATATACATAATAATATATATATATATATACATATTCATTTAGTTCTGTCTACATCATATCCGAGTATATACATCGCCACCCAACTTCTCTCCCTGATTCAGCCACGGCCTGGCCGTAGAGCAGCAGCTTCAGCAGCTCCTTGGCCACGGTCACCGCGATGGAGTTCCCCACCACCTGACGCGGGCGCGACGCGCGGCGACTCGTGCGGCGCCCGAAGAACGCGGAGTGACTCGGATCCAAAAGGCGACGAAGGAAGAGCTGGGAGACTTTGCCGGAGTTTGCCGTTGGTTTGGGGTTTAGGGTTTAGGGCTTAACATACCCATTTCGTACTCTTTTGCTTGTATCTGTTGGTGTTCGAACCCAAAATCACGGTACGCTCATAGTTTGGCTCTCCTCGGAAAATGGAGGATTCGGTGGGTTTCAGGGTTTCCTCGGAAAAAGGGAAGAATTGGAGGGGCTCCCCAAACTTCCGGGTGCCTCAGAATTTTCAGGGTTTCCGAGCCATTTCTCTTTGAAGCTCCCAAAGTGGCCATCGTTTCAAGGGAAACTGCCAGTAAACTGATCAACTTGTAACGGGGAAATCCAGTGACCCCGCCTTTACCCCGTTTTGGTTCCCCTGAAAACCACCCAAACAAGGTACCCGCATACTTTGGCTCTCCCAACAAAAACATCCTCCAAAGAACGGTACCGGGCCTCAACAAAACAGACTCACACACGCACGCACACACACACACACACTTACACCCAAATGACGCTGCAAACCCTGAACGAGCAAACGTTGGTAGAGTGAAGGTTTGAAATCAAACAGAAACTAGAATGGGGCACAAATTGAGGTAACCACCATCAGAACTAATCTCCTTTGGAGGGGAGGATCCAACAGATCCAATGGATCTGGCGGTTACAAAATATGGCACCCGTAAAGGGCACAGAAAAATGCGCGCTCGTCATGCAAAGGTTGTCATTCTTGAAACTGAATGAATCTCGTGTCCCATGGTCACAGCTCCCTTAGGAAGCCAACTTTTTGTGAAGAGGCTGAGCAAATTCCCCTCCCACCAATTAACATGGAACCTGACGTTCTGGGGGCTCCTGCAAAACCGTCTTCCTTCTAAAGGGACCATTTCCCTGTCAGATTCCGGCTGTTAATTGGTGGGAGAGTACTTTAACTCAAAACATGGTGTTATCCTGGGCAAATTGCTTGCTGATAATATGGCATGTAAGATAGATAGATTTGGGGAGTGGTTGTGACTAGAGGCTTGGGCCGGTGGGGCTTTCCTCTAAAGGGAACCAGGGCTTGGGTGGCCTCACACTTGGCCCAACCGACCAATTCCCTGAGGGCCAGGAAAAAAACAAGTCGCAAGTCAGAGGTGTTCGGGGAGGAAAAATCCAGGGCCAGCTGCGTGCCTTGTAGCGGTGCTTCAAGGGCATGTCGCCGGGCAGCGAGAAGCTGGCCGGGAAGCCCAAGAAGTTCAGGATCTCCTGGATCCCAGAAAGGAAACCCCGCAAAAAAGAACTCCGTCCCATGGGATCCCCCCATAAAAGGTAAAAGCCATGCAAAATGCCGAATCGAATCTGGAAGATTTGATGCAGAGATAAGAAGATTCAAGACCTGGATCAGGCACATAAACTTCACGTTTCGCTCGCTGTCCCCACAGATCGCCAAAGGCAAATGGGTCAAACCCATGTCCGCTGGGGGCCAGTTGCAAAGTCACCAACGCCCTGCCAGTCGCTGCAGATCCTGTTGCAAGACAGACAACTTCAAATGGAAGCTGTGAGTTCCCAAGTTCGAATCCAGTCCCTCACGACGCATACAAAACAAACTCTAGCACGCCCTTGAAGCGAAGAAAGCCACGCGAGCGAGGAGTTACATTCATCAAAGTGAGATTGGGAGATCCAGGCGCAAACCAGTACACCCAAAGCAATCACTACAGCTTTGCCGAGGTCAGCCGCAAGAACACAAGTGGAGAGGCTTGTTGAACATCAAGTTGGTCCAGCGGTTGAGGTTAAACTGCCAGATATGGGTGTGTCTCAAAGGTAGGATTCCCTCAAATGGCTGTCTCTCCCCCCCCCCCAGTTTGTCCGGCGCCGGTCAACCAATACGGTGCAACCAACTTTCCTCCGCCCAATTTGCTTGCCGGTGCTCAGCAGGGAATGAGGGAATAACCCCTATAAACAATCCCTTGTGGCTTCCTTTAAGGGAATCCCTGAATTCGTTCCCTCATTTGGGTATGGGTCAATGAAAAACCAGCAGGGGACCACAGGTTCTAGTCTTTGGTTCCATTTACCAGGGTTCCATTTTGGGTACTCATTTTTGACCCATAGCAATTCCCTACTGAGCACCAGCAAGTTTGTCCTACGCGCGGCTCGTCTTGGATCCCTCCGACGCGCGTGTCGAGCGGTGCCTTGGGGCTGAAGAGCCTCACCTCTCCGAAGGCTTGCGGCAGCCGGGCGCGGTCGATGGCTTCGGAGGAGAGGTGCAGCAGGGAGCCCGAGGACTTGTGCATCACCTGACTTGTGGCTTCTTTGGCTTGTGACCCGCTCCCTGCAACAAACCAAGCAAGCAAGCAAGCAAGCGAGCAAGCAAGCAAGCAACCGAGCAAGCAAGCAACCAAGCAAGCAAGCAAGCAACCGAGCAAGCAAGCAAGCAAGCAACCAAGCAAGCAAGCAAGCAAGCGAGCAACCGAGCAAGCAAGCAAGCAAGCAAGCAAGCAAGCAAGCAAGCAAGCAAGCAAGCAAGCAAGCAAGCAAGCAAGCAAGCAAGCAAGCAAGCAAGCAAGCAAGCAAGCAAGCAAGCAAGCAAGCAAGCAAGCAAGCAAGCAAGCAAGCAAGCAAGCAAGCAAGCAAGCAAGCAAGCAAGCAAGCAAGCAAGCAAGCAAGCAAGCAAGCAAGAGCAAGCAAGCAACCGAGCAAGCAAGCAAGCAAGCAACCGAGCAAGCAAGCAACCGAGCAAGCAAGCAAGCAAGCAAGCAAGCAAGCAACCGAGCAAGCAAGCAAGCGAGCGAGCAAGCAAGCAAGCAAGCGAGCGAGCGAGCGAGCGAGCGAGCGAGCAAGCAAGCAAGCAAGCAAGCAACCTCACGATACTTTGGGGCCAAAACACCATGTTCTGACAAGATGACTCACCAAGTGGTTTGGAGGTGACTTGGCCAGACTTAGACCATTGACCCCAAACAGTTCTACCTATTCCTGCTCAAAAGGAAAAAAGGGCTCACGGGCAAAAAGGCAATGGTCTAAGTCTGGCAATGGTACGGGTGTTCACCGATCCTAAATCAAATCGATACGCGAAAGAACAGCTGACCATAGATTGCAAAGAGCAGCCACAACATATCATCGACTATCGACCTGCATCAAAGAGAAGGGACCACCCAAAAATCCTGCCAATGTCACCCCAATCCAGTGAACAACGGTGTGTCTCCAAGGGGGCCCACACCACGGGTGGTTTCCTTTTAGTTTCTCTTTTATCACCAAGAAAGATGCCAGAAAAGAGACACCCAATTGTACACCTTCGGCAATGCAGAAATGCCGGCCTTGCCGTAGTGGCCAGTGAAGCAAAAACTGCGGACATCCTTGCAGCTGTGCCGATGCAGTCATTTCATGTTACAGGCCATGGTCCCGGGGAGCATGCCCAGCATCTGGGCTATTTGGGCATGAATCTGAATTGAGGTCCTTTGGAACATCGTTTGGGGATTCATGTCCAAGTGGAGGTTCCTTATTCAAATCCATAGCTATACTTTTCCAGGGCCATCCCCAAAAGGACACTGGGGACATGTCGAAATGCGAATCGCTCATGTACCAGACGGCTCCTTGGCTCGCACATAGCTCAGGCCGGGCGCAAACGGCTTTGACAGCACCTCTAGAGGCACCAGCAGCCTTACGCGGCGAGGCGGTTTGACCCTTCCCAACACTGTGGATGGATGCGACATCCATTTAGCAGCGATCGATTTCTTTGAAAGTACCTACAAAAACACAATGGTTTCAACCCTGGCTTCATTTCGTGGTGCGAACGGGTTTTGTCCATCCGCACTTTTGATCTGTTAACTGGGCTGTCCTCAGATCACCCGCTAAAGTTAAACGGTTAGTGGGTCACATGAAAATCCCAACTAAACTCTAAAAAGCCACCAAGTTAAGAGAGAAGATGTTGATCACATTTTGAAGGTCACGTGTTTCTCAAGCGCCTCAAGCATATGCCGACACGGCTTGATGGCTGTCCAGGCGGCTGCGTCTTCTCGTGTTCATCCATCTCCTCGAGGAAAGTTGAGATGGATGTGGGAGCATCGCCAGACCACAAGCTGCAGGACGTGCCTGAAGCAAACATGTGGTCGAACTGTGACGTGTCAAGCTGTGAATGAGGGCTCTTTGCCACAAACAGCCCGTTTTGTTGGAATGAATTGAGGGATCAACTCTGTTGGAGCCATGCATCGCAAGTGAGAACAACGCGAGCGCCACATGTAACGGCGGTTGACTTCAAGGTACTAGTACGTCGAGAGCTGCACGTTGGCTACGGAATTCCATCAACAATGTTTAATATGCCCTGTGAGCAGGCACCTGAAGCAAACCGTCAAACATGCTGTCTGGGCTGTTCAAAAGGGGGAGGGGCATTATCCTTATCTGTGGCAAGACACCACCAAACCAAGAGGAATCACGGTTAACTCATCTAAAATAAGTGGAATCCCGATTCCTCATCCTAATCTGCGAACCAAGAGAAATGGGAAACCACAAACCTCTTCTGGATGCGCTTGTTTTAGAGTACCCACTTTCTTGTGGTTTTTGAAGGGAACCCACGAGGAACACCAACAACTTCTCCCCAATTTGAGGGTCCCCCACAAAAACAACACACCCATCTGGCCTTCTTGTACCTCTCCCTGCTGGGCGAGCCTGCGTAACGGCAAAGGAATGGGGGCCATCGATTGCAAACACTTGCCATGACGAAAATCATGCATACACATGTATTAACTTAATATAAGCATGTATGTACATATAATATGGATATGCATATAAGATATATATATATATATATATATATATATATTGTTACATGTATGTAAGTGTGTATGTATATATATATATGCTACCCCCCACCCCAAGGACCTACCTTTTTGTTGCCTCTCCTGTCCATGATTTGCCCATCTAGGACTGGAAGGAAAGATCTCTCAACTAGGACTAGGAACAAATAAGACTAGAACCAAGGATCTCTCAACTAGGACTGGGACCAAACTAGGACTAAACGATCCACCTCTAATTCTTACAATAACTGAATTTCAAGTATAGGGCCAACCTAGCACTAGAACCAAGGATCTCTCAACGAGGACCAAACTGGGACTGGACTATTTAACTCTACTTCTTATAGTATTTGGATGCCAAATATTACATTCTATTGGAAAGACAGTCCTGTGTAACATTTGGTTTGAAACAGAATAGCCAATATTCAAAATCCAATTGAAAATGCAAATTATGACTGCATTGGTTCCTTCTTTTAAGTTCTACTTCAGTTTCAGTTAGCAGTTACATAGAACTTGATAAATATGTTAAATAGAAGTCACGAGGAACTGTGTTTGTAATGTCCTTTGGTTTCTAATTATTTCAGTAAGCTAGGACCATACTAGGCCTAGAACCAAGGATCTCTCAACTAGGACTAGGGCCCAAGGTGGACTAGACCATTTAACTCTAGTTCTTGTAGTGTTTGAATGTCAAGTATAATACTCTATTGGAAAGGAAATCGTGTGTACCATTCAATGATATAGAACAATCAATATTTAAGTTCCAATTTAAGTCGGAATCCTGACTGGAGTAGTTCCTTCTTAGACTCTATTTAATTTCAAGCAGAAATTGGGTCGACTTTGACAATCATATTAAGTAGAATTCATAAGGAAAGACTTCAGAGGTTCAGAAAACACCCTAAAACACAGTGTTTCGTAGCGTGTTTCATGCTAAATTCATCTCTCCAGCAACGACCGCTCTCTTAATGTTCATTTGATTTTGAACAGGATTTAATTGGGACTCAATACGGAAATACTTGTTCAGAATCCTACTGGGAATTAAGTCTGAAACTTAGAATGTACGTAGAATTCCTTTCCCAATATATTCTTACGATTCAACTAGAGCTTAGCAGAATATGATGAGGAAAGAATCCAAGCCTGTGTTTAAGAATCAAGGTTCAATACTCCCTAGACAAGTCTTCTCTGCAAACCAGGGTCCAGGCCCGAGTGAAACCGATTGAAACGGACTGAAATTTCATTCGAGCCTGGACTCAAGATCCCCTAGAAAAGTTTGTCCTGCAATCTTGAATATGGGCCTAGATTAATCAGGACTTGGATGCGTGCACAACGCTGAACCAAAGCACAGCCGCGCAGGGTGCAATGTTGAATTTGGGTATCGATTTAAACCGATTTCAATTTAAATCGGGCCTGGAATCAAGATTCAAGAATCCAGGCCAAACTTGTCCAGGGAATGTTGAATCCAGGTCTCGATTTATACAGATTCAAGCCGATTTAAATTTAAGTCGGGCATGGATTCAAGATTCAAGATTCCAGGCCAAACATTTCCGGGGAATATTTAATCCTAATCTTGAATCCGGGCCCGATGTAAGTTCAAATCGGTTCTTCAAATCGATTTAAATCGAGGCCTGGAACAGTTTGGGCTGGATTCTTGAATCTCGAATCCAGGCCGGATATGTAAAAAAAAACACATACACATACGTAACATGTATATATATATATATGTATATATATATAAGTATATATATATATATATCATACATCTATATATATATATATATATTTAACCCGGGGTTTGGGTCAATAGATCAACCGCCTACATCCGGAAGTGCACACATCCTGCTTGAAAGACCATGCTATTCTGGAAAGCCATTCAATGTATACTTCCACGGGCCGTTTTGCATCCAGCCGCTCCTGCCAAGGACCCAGGATAGACGCATCCAATCCGTTTCGAAACTCGAAAGTTCATGGGCGTCTGGTCTAAAACAAAATTGAAAAGCAGCCGATTCGTTGATCATGTCCGCACGCCTGAGCTTTCTCGAGGTCTGGGGTTCGTTTGGAATAAATTGTGTGGCAAAGGTAAGAGCAAACGATGGCAGCCCTCAACTGAGCTGGCGACATCCTCAAACTTACCCTCTGAATGTTGGTTTGAGAGGGTTCCCACGTCCCAAAGCAATTCCATGAACCCAAACTGGGTATGTATGTCTTTTGTTAGCGGCCCCCCAAATTGGCGCAACGGCTTTCCGCACAACACGTTGGCAACGAAGAGCCTCAAAAACCTGACAGACCTATTGTCCGGCCTGGGCTTCGGAGCGCTCCTGACGGCGAATGTTTGGGGAATGTTTGGCATGTTGACGTCTGGGGAACGGGGCAGTTGTTGCGAGGTGCTGCGGATGTCGTGGTTTGCTTTTTTTTGAAGGGGAACGGTTTCAAAGCGCAAATTAGGTGCAGGATGGGCCTTGGTGTCGGGTTTAGACATAAAACCGATCCTGATCTGACAGTCGTCGGCAAAGGATCTGATGGCATTGCTACCAGCCTACGTGACCTTCGCTGGTATAAATCAGTGATCTGCCCCTGTCACAAACCAACCACCAGCGACCTTCGCAATGAGCGGCCACCTTCAAACTATTCAGGCCCCTTCTGCTCAAGGGTCACCCTGAGGGTCTCAAGGAAAAAGCCGGCTAAACGGTTGGTACCCTCCCAACCATGCACAAGGCCCCTTTCCAAGATCTTGAAAAGTGGTCTGGCTACAGGCTGTGCAACCAACCACGTTGGTCGCGAGGGTACCTCAGCTCTCGGCTCCGCGCCTCAAGTGCTCAGTCTCCCGCTCCGCAAGGAGGTAGTAGCGGGTGCGGTGGTTGGGTGTGCCGAAGCTCTGAAGGTCCAAAATCATCCTCGGGCGCGGCGTTTTTTTGGTCACAAGAGCAACTTTGTCAAGAATGAGCTTCTGTCGGAGCTCAGAGGAAACCTCTCTCATGGCAGGGAAGCACCACCTTCCCCGCTCGAAGGTTCATTCCAAGCATCTCCCGGTCTCGAAAGCCTGCTTCCCTCAGCGCAGCTCGCCATTTGCAGCAGGCATCGCTGCCGCTGAAGCCTGACAGTAAGCTTCTGACATGGGGCTGTCTGCTTTTGAGGGAACCCTTTTGCGCGTCGGTTTTTTAAGGGAAAACAAAAGGACACAACCCTTTTTCGGTTATAGGGGCACATCACATGAGCCAACCCCAAGAACTATCATAACATGTCTGATTCCAATGGTTGCGGGCCCACTGCAGGGTCCACTTGGAACCTAGGATTCTTGTAACGCATCCAATGCTCACAACACATCAAACCTACCGGCGATAGACAGCTGTGCAAAGCGTGGACACAAAAAGCACTAAGTGCAGATCACTATGACTCGCGCACCAGCATTCAGGAATTTCCTCCGGTAAAGGATGAGTGAGCTCATTTTATTCCCCAGGTTCGCTCCTTGTATTTTGGGCGCGTCTCAACATGGGGGACCCGTTTTCTATTAAGACCACCCCAAAGTGGTACTTAGATGAGTCTTATTTCAGGGAACCCAAGAACTTGCGGAGGTTCCATTTTGGTATCCCTTTAAAACCACAAAGAGAAACAGGTACCCTCAAAGACACGCACACACACACACACACACACACACACACACACACACACACACACACACACACACACACACACACACACACACACACGCATGTCTCCTGAAAACCCCCCGGCCCAAGCTGTCCGTCTCGACAAATTCCGAGGCTCCCTTCACGTTCTCCAGGGCAATCCACCGCGGTGGCTGCTTCAGCAACGGCAGCACTTTGCACCTCAGAGGCACGGCTCCATGGCTCGATCCGTCCCAATCCCCTCTCCCCCGCCCCCCGAAAAAAGGAGAACAAAAAAAAACGGTGACCATTTTGCGGTTGAGTGGGCAAACACACATACATCATTTCCCAAGTTGAAGTCTAACACACTCACTTCCCCCCAAGAACAAAACATCATTTGATCATTTAGTTGAGGTCTAAGAAACCGATCATTTCCCCGAAACCCCAACATCCTGAAGATCTCGCTTCCAAAGCCGGCTCCCGCCGAGGGCACAAGTGGCTCAGCGCATCGCAGCGCTTGTCGCCCAAATCCCGCTGCTTCGCCTCCCTGGTGGTGCTGAAGGGTTGGCAGGGCCTCGATGACTCGATGTCCCTTGTGGGCTGGTGAGGGTCCCAACTTTTGGAGGGGAACACTCCCCATTTTTGGGGGTGTCCCTGCTTTTAGTGGTTTGGTGGGATTTGTTTTCATGAACAGGAGTTGATTCATATGGGGCTGTCCCTGATTTTAGTGGTTTGGTGGGATTTGCTTTCATGAACAGGAGTTGATTCATATGGGGGTGTCCCTGATTTTAGTGGTTTGGTGGGATTTGTTTTCATGAACAGGAGTTGATTCATATGGGGCTGTCCCTAATTTTAGTGGTTTGGTGGGATTTATTATCATGAACAGGAGTTGATTCATATGGGGGTGTCCCTAATTTTAGTGGTTTGGTGAGATTTGTTTTCATGAACAGTTGATTCATATGGGGCTGTCCCTGATTTTAGTGGTTTGGTGGGATTTATTATCATGAACAGGAGTTGATTCATATGGGGGTGTCCCTAATTTTAGTGGTTTGGTGGGAATTGTTTTCATGAACAGGAGTTGATTCATATGGGGGTGTCCCTGATTTTAGTGGTTTGGTGGGATTTGTTTTCATGAACAGGAGTTGATTCATATGGGGGTGTCCCTAATTTTAGTGGTTTGGTGGGATTTGCTTTCATGAACAGGAGTTGATTCATATGGGGGTGTCCCTGATTTTAGTGGTTTGGTGGGATTTGTTTTCATGAACAGGAGTTGATTCATATGGGGGTGTCCCTGATTTTAGTGGTTTGGTGGGTTCCTTGTGGTTGACCTTTCATCTACCGAAGGTTGAGCCTATATTTAATCAACCCCTGATTATAAATCTGGGGGTGTCCCTGGTTTTGGGATTCATCACAAGTTATTGGAGGGAACACCCCCCATTTCTTTTGAACAAGGGTTGATTCATATGAGGTCAGCATGTCGCCCCAAAATGGCTCAACGGTTATCTTGCTGCAGCGATAGGCAGGGAATGAGACATGGAATGGTCCCAAGAAAAGCCATCCCTGATTTGGTTTCCTCTATATAAGGGAATCTCCAGATTCATTCCCGTTTCCCTACTGCGCACCAGCAAGTTGTCCTTTTGGTTTCTCAAATTATTGTTCAATCTATTCTTCAGGCCTTTCTGCTCAAGACCCGAGACCCGGGTTCAAAGGGACAAAAACGCAATGGCTTCGGTGGTCCTTTTGGGTTCAAAGCCGCGCGCAATGGATTTCGCTCCCATCCGCAGTATGGGTGTGTCGTGTTTTGTTCTAGGGAAACCGGGAAGCCAGTGCTTCCAGGCAAGCCACTATAGCAGGAATCGTTTTTCAGGTTTACATGATTGTTTTCCCTGTTCACCTACTATGGGTCTTCCAAGAAACTTCTGTCAACAGCCCTGATTGGAAAATATTGGGGCCCCGCAACAAATTGCAGGGGCCCTTCTTGATTTTCCTTTGAAAACAAGAACTTTTGCTTTCAAACCAACTTTAACAGGGACCCCCACACCTTCTCAGGTTGAGTGTGCCTTTCTCGAGAATGGACTCCAATCGGGTGTATCTTTTTTAAGGTTGACCCCCCAAAAAAACGATTTTCTTGGTTCTTGTTGGTTTCACTTCAACACTGAGCCTCAAAAAGGAGCAATCCTTTTCGCCATGGCTTCGGACAGGAATCAAAATGTGATGTTGGAAAGGACCCTCAAAATGCCTGGCTTTGCGAATTTTTGTGTTTTTGTTTTGTTTTTAATGACTCAGTTTACGAAGTTGGACTGGGCACTCTGCCATGGTTGGGGAGTCCTTAGGCAAGCCAAGACTTCCAACAAGAAGGGTTCGTGTCAAAATAGCGGAACCCAAAAATGTAAGATCGCTTTTTTTTGTGATCTCCCGTCAAACTAACTCGGAAAGGGTACCCCAGCAAACCACCCGAGTGCAGCCGGTTCAGGCTTCGAAGCCACTCAGTTGCCTGAAATTGTAGCATATATGACACGTGCGCCGCAAACAACGTCACTTCTCTTGCACAACGAACAAGGATGCGCTGGAAACAGTAGAACCGCTGGAATTCTGCACAATAAGAGGCTCCCAAGAGGAACGCAATTATGTACGCCCTTATGTTTTAGAAAGCACTGGCACATAGTCACTGACGTGACACAGCATCGGCCAATAGCACAAAGACTGCAGAACCATTCAACATTGGCCTGAATGTAATGCGTATGAATGCGTGATGTATATACATGTGATGTGTACTGCATGTATGTATGTATGTATGTACGTATGTCTGTCTGTCCGTCCGTCCATCCGTCTGTATGCATGCATGAATGCATGCATACATGCACATATTTGCACACTAAACATGCATACACACGCATATACAGACACCTATGATATATATATATATAGCTACAAATACACATGTAAATATACAATGCCCATCTTTTTTCAACCGGCCTGTAGCATCCAACATAAGCATGCACCGAGCAGCGGTGACATCAGCCAAAGGTCGAAGCCATCCAGGTCTTTGGGCGAAAGCTGCTCCTGGCCAAGGCTGAGCCGCTAGGAGCCAGGGGATGCGATGGAAAATACCTGTCTTAAGGGTTTTAAGGGTAAGGGTAAGGGTTTTAGAGACAGATTCCCTTTAACACCAACAGAGAAAATAACACATATTCCTAGGTCCTCCAGTAGAGAGGCTGGAATAAGGGTACCAACTTGTTTTTTGTTTTTTTTAATGTAGTCTATTTTAGTGGGGGAACCCTCCCCCAAAGAAGGGTGAAGGGCACTACTGGGGGACCTAGTTGTTTTAAGGGTAAGGGGACTAAGGGGACCATGTATCCAAATGAATGGTAAATCACCATGACTAAGATATATTCGTAATTTATAGTCAAGGTAACCCAGAACCACTCAGGAAAGGAAACCAAGGCAAGCCATAGGGACAATGCCTGGCTTCCATGGAAACTGGGATCGTGGACAGAACCTCTGCGAATAGGACGTGGGCTCTTTGGACCAGCACGTCATCGGTACGGAGCCCTGGGACCTCCATAAGCCTCAGTAGAAGTACTATAATATGTGTGCGTGCTCTTGAGGCTACCTTCTAGCTTAGTTTAAATGGAAGCCAACGGAAGAAACATGTTTTTAGGGGTCCCCTATTCTGAACAGTATGTTTTCCAGGAAGAAACTGAAAAACTCGACGCTGGCAGCTTTCAAGCTAGTTTTTGAGCCCTGAAAGCTGAACTTTCGTAGGGACTGAGCCCAAGCGCGTCTTGAACATTCGTCTTGACCGCTTCAAATCTGCGCATTTCTCCGGCCTCTATTCATCCTGCTGCAACAATCTATAAGGCCCAACCCAGTCTCATTCCATCCTCTCAGACTCACAAACCAGCACCCACAGCCACCGCAATTGACATCAAATATAGGTGCCGAGTAGGCCTGGCAAACTTCCAAAATGGAAGTCTATATGGCTATGGGTCAAAACCCCGTACCCCCAGTGAACATCCCAATCCCCACTAAAATAGGCTCTAAAATGGGTGGTGCACCTACCCCAAAATGGTACCATTGGTTTTGACCCACAGCCATATAACAAAACTAAGGCCATCCAAAGCCATGGCACAATGTTCCGCCGGCAGCAGCGCTCCCCAAAGTTCCGGAGATAGACCTGGCTGTTGAACACACGGCCTAGCTGTTTCCAGGGAGGGTTTTGAAAGAAATAGATGCTTCTATACCAATAGCGGCTAAGGCAGTGTATTCCCGTTGCAGTGGTATCTAACCTCCAAACGAACCTCCAAAGCACATGTCTGAAAAAACACTTGATGGAAACGCGTCTTATGCCTGAAACAAGGACGCTTGAAATGAATGAGGAAACTCTCAAAGAATCAATTTGCCACTCAGGCAGATCATCAGAGTTTTTGCGCCTCTGGATTTACATATTCGTTTCCCGATGCCTACTACAAAAGTGGGTTATCCCAATGATTACTCCGTCCCTAGTAAATTGCCTCGGTATTTCAAATGGCAACCGCCCAACAGAACAAAATGAGAGAGCAACCACTTTCCAAGGGACCCAGTTAAAGAAACAGGGTCCCTTGTCGCCGGAGCAAACCGGCGAAAGCCGAACCACCCCAACTAAGAACCCCAGCCAAACCCACGAATCCACCACCCCAACAGGGTCCCTTACATGTCCTCTTTAAACAACACTCCACCAACCCAAAGGGCAAATATTTCGGGGAACCCTTTGGATCCAGGAATGTGTGTAGCCTCAGATTGCTCCCATTTCACCCCCCCCCCCCAAAGGTAAACTCCAAAAGGGCATGGGCGCAGGATTTAAGTGTTTCTTTCTTTTAGTTTCCTCTTATCCCAAAAATGTGGCACCATCTTGAGAAACACCCACATCGCAGTGGCCAGAGTAGATAACCCTTCGAAATGCTCCGCTTGTTTTCATGTTCTCTTTTTTTTTGTGGGGGGGGAGGGGGGCGAGGGAAATCCCTTGGTTGCAGAACCAGCTTTCCTCTCCTAAAGGGTGGAAACCGATAGTAACTTGCCATACGGTTGAGTCCTTTTTGTAGGGAACCCCCCGAACTCTTGGTTTCCCTGTTGTCCCTTTTTAAAACTACAAAACGAAAAAGCACAAAGGTACCCTCAACAGACAGACCCAAACGGTTGAAGTCCCTCTTTGGACTCCATGGTGCTGGGGCTTCACTGGACACAGCCCAAAAGAGAAACAGACCCGAACTCATATCACTTCTTTGTTAACAACAAGTACCCTCATGTCCCTCCAAACCCTGCCAGACCCTTTTTCGACACATCGCGGCCACTTGGGAAATGACAAAAAACCCACCAACTGCAGCTCTTTGGATCCATCCAATTCGGTCTGTGTGAATCATAATATTTCACCAGCCTGAAACAAGGTGGATTGGAGGCTCTTCCCCACATAAATAAAACCATTTGGGGTGAGGTCGTTCTAATTCACCCAGATTCCATGATTAGACTTAGGCCCAGTTGTAGAATGTTTATTGTTTGCTTCCCTTTGAGTCACTGGTAAAATGTAAAATGTTTCCTAAGTCTACCCCAGATTCGATCGACGCATCCATCGAGCCTCGCTGCAGTGCGGCCCGCTGTCGAAGGCCTCGATCCGCAGCTTGGGCGCGCCAGCCGCGTCCGCGGCCGCGGCGTCCAGGGCCAAGCGCCAGCCGCCGATGCCGGCGAAGAGCTCGCAGACGCGCCTCGAGGGACTGGCCCGGTTGAAGCTTATTTGAGTCGTTTTCTTTGAAAGATATTGAAAGAAAACTTGGCGTTTAATAAAAACTGAGAACATCCCAATGAATTTCATGGGGACAAAGGGCATGCAAAAAGAAGGCTCTGTGGGAAAAGGTGGTGCATACGAACAACTTCATTCCGGCCCCTGGGTGGGGTAAGCTTGTGCACGTGCCAAACCGTAGTGGTTTCTACCTGTAGTGGTGTCCCACTACGGATCACCCCCCCTTTTGGGCAGCCCAGGGATGGGTTGGAGCGTCGATTTGCCTTGTTGGCAGCCATGGTTGCATTTTGCATTCTGCGGTTGACTTCTTCTATGCGCCGAGATTTGTGGGATCAGCCAGTGCTCCCAGAAGACTGAAGACTGAAGCTACCGGGGGTTCTCACAGTTGAGGAGACCGAAGGAGAACCCAGGCTACAAGTGTTTGACCGAGAACCCGGCAGCCGGCTTCGCCAGTTGGCTGGTTCCCCCGGCCCGCGGCAGCGTGCTGTTCGAAATGAAATCTCGTTTTTGCATGGCTTCTTCCACAACCCATGCACAAAAGGACCCCTTGTGTTGGAGGCATACGCTGAGTTGATCGGATCGGTTGGGTGGTAGTCTGGCTGGTAGTCCTGGACAGTTTGCTGGTGCAACCAAATCGAGTGACCGAGTGGAGCGGCCTCCCCATTGGGCAATCGAACCGGCCAGCCCGACCAACCGAAGCGACCAAAAGAATCCACGGACCAAACCAGTCGACCGCGCTGACCAACCGAACAGCCGAGCTGAACCGGCCGGTGAGGTCGAGTTGCTTCTTGACAACATACTCGACATACTCTGTAGTGTTGCTAGGAGTCTTTGTTTAGCGCACCCTCAGGAATGCTCGGTGGACATCCCCGAAATGATGTCCGCCCAACTGCCCCAATTTATCCCCAACTCGCCAGACCTCGAGGGCATTCGCCTCGCTGAGGGGGGCACTTTAAGGTTGCCTACTTGCCTGAAAGAAGGCCACTCGATGCCCCCCAGTAGCCTCTTACCCCCCAGCTAGCTCCCTACTGTGGGTGGACAAAAATATTGCACTAGCCTTTGATGCAATACTGGTTTATAAGCCACCTACCAGCTGGTAAGTGGAATTTCTCCAATGTCTCCATCAGTACCTCTCCCTACTTCCCCCGGGCGCAGAATGCCGCCGATCTTCAGCGTCTCGCTCTCTCTTGGCTTGGCCCCGCTGCTCTCGCGGGACGCGCAAATGGAGGCGATGGCTCCCATGTTCGGCCCGTTTTCTGAGTGAAGGGAGCCCGGGGTTTGGTGCATTGGACCAAAATGCCGAAGATCTTAGACACCGTCGCCGGTGAATCCAAAGGGAAGCAAACCCAAGAAGGCCAACCCAAGTGGCAACAAGATGGATGAAGGCACTGCTGTGTGAATCAAGCTCACTGTGTCAGAGAGGTCTGTCATTCCTCATTCTGCAATACAACCTCGCTAGAATGGCTCAGCTTGAAGCTGCAAAGGCCAGGCGCACACACACACACACAATCCTATAGATCCTAGATGTCATGTTTAGAACAATGCATGGCACTAGCTGTAGTCAAACTGAAACTAATGGAACCCGTCTGATTTTTTCCAAGCTGCGCAGTAGAAGGTAGTAGCGCAATACCCTTTGTGTGGGCAAGTAAGAGGGAGGACTGAAGCACAAAAAGAAAAATGTGCCATGTACTTTCACCAAGGGTACCACATATTGATCTACGGCCAAGATCTATCCTAGGCACCCCAAAACAGGGCTCCTTAAAACTGTATCGTGACGGTTGCACGACACCGGGATAAGCAATCCTCCAACTGGTGCATTTCTTGGACTCTGTTCATCAGTACTGTAGATGGACCAAATCCTGCACCACCTAAGAAACCCTGGAATGATGATTCCAACGTAAATACCAACAAACAATGGTTTCCCATCGTTTCTTAGGTGGTGCAGGATTTCGTCCATCCACAGTATCACGTGTACCTGCAACCCGAACAGTACGCGTCAATCCGTTTGCGCGTCGCACTTTCTCCACCGCTGGACTCTGATGCCTGAGTGCAAAAGAAACGCGTCTCATGAGGGTTTAGGTGTTGTTTTAAAGCAACGGCAAAAAAGGTGCCATTGAAGAAAACAAACGTCATACGTGGTTGTCACAATGTGGCTATCTCAACTTGTATCAGCCTCTTGGACTATTCACAACGGCTACTGAATGCGATAGGCTCCAGCCCCCTTAGCATGATCATGAATTGAATCACAGCTTGCACACAGCACGCATTTACACAAGGACCATGATTGACAGACATCACCAGTTTCAACGCGAGGATTCTCAAACTTTGTCTTAATAATGATGTGACTCGTCAAATGGGCAAGAGTTTGTCGCGGAACACCCCGGATATTTCACAATGCTTTGTTTCTAAATCCTGCCAAATGGTGAATGGTGATGTCTCATTAAAGGTCCCACCCTTTGGGCAAATACCCTTGCAGGTTCCGTGCGGTTGGGGAAGGAGCCGAACAAATACGGGAGTGGCCACAAACATGGGGATATGACTTTCTTGGGGACCTTGTTGGTTTCATCTCCAAGGCCAAGATGCCAGCCGCTGCTGCAGGATCTGTTGCAGCACCTCGGCCAAAGACCCTCCCTACCTTTAAGGCAAAGGATGCTTTCAGCTAACCAAGGTGACATGGCAAATTGATTTGATTATTATTTGGTGTTTAATATTTGGATTGGATTTTAGTATGTTGTTTCGAATTGAAGTTAAATATTAACTTAAATATATTAGATTTGAATAATAGTTATTTAAATTCATAAATTATTTTGATATTTAAAAATATAATATTTTTGATATCTGATATAGGTTAAAATAAAACTTGGTTTCAACGCAAGGGGGAAGTATGATCGCACTGAGCTGTCAAAACATTGCCCTGCCAGTAGCAGCTCGATGTTGCAAAGTCCTCTTTTGCACCTTCTTGGGCTTGTGACGTCTCTGAAATGCGCATTCCACAGTTATTCCATCACCCGAAAGAAAAAGAATTGGATCCCCAAGTCAAGGACCTACATCATGGCGAGCTTGTTTTACCCCCGAACCGGTGAGCTTGCCAGACATGTGTAGACCAAGTTGGACCTTTTAGGGATGACCAATGCAAAAACAACGGCAACATATGGCAAACAAATGGTTCGGGAGCATCTCTGGTTTTTGCCAGCCGTTGTGGCTTGTGCTTGTGTTGATTGGTTTGCTGTGTGATTGTTGGGTGATGCAGTGTGCTGATGGAAAAGCCCTTGCGGGCCTTGGTGGCTGTCCACTATTGTTGATAGTCAGTGCGACAGCTTTTGGGAAATGAATTCGACATGTGGAGAATCCCTATTTACAGACTGTACTAGTCATGCACTATCAACAAGCCTCCATTTGTTTAAGTCCCCTGGGAAAAAAATATATATATATATATATATGTCCACTAGTGATAGATTCCGTTTTAAAACCAACAGAGGAAAACAACAAACATTCTTAACCAAATTGAAGCAAGGTTCACCAAAAAGAGACTTTCCATCTGTGGCCGATACGCACACAGCCGTCAGAGCATTTGGAAAGGATGTGATTGCAGGTAGCAAGCGGCAAGGGAAGTCCATGTGCAGCTGCTTGTGCACATCCAGACATGCTACTGTGGATGGACGAAATCCATTTCGCACCACCTAAGAAACCCTGGAGCCCTGATTCTCCTGTAAATACCAACAAACAATTATTTCCCATGGTGTCTAAGTGGGGCAGGATTTCGTTCATCCAGTATTACACTGAACTGTTGTTTCCAATAATTCCAAAAGCTGATTTCAGGGATCCCCAAGTAGAGAACCTTGGTTTTCGCTGGTTTTACCCCCGACCGGTGAGCTCGCTAGAATTTTTGCGGATAATGCACTTCCTCACTCTTTGGCGCTCAGAGAAGCTTCCATTTGCTTGAGCCCTCTTATCCAACAAACATATTATTTTCAGAAAAAAATGTTCAGGAAGGAGTTGGCAGAAGCCGCTTCTCCGAGTGCCCCTCTTTTAGTGCTAAGCCTCCATCCCGTCTCGGGGCGCCGGGCGGGAACCTGGCCCTTCACACTGAGCTGCGCAGCATGGACCTCGGAACTCCCTCGGGCGTTCTCAAGATTCATGGTTTTCCTCAAACCCCGTATCACTACCGTTTCCCAGGGTCGATTCCCAGGGTCGATTCCCAAGGTGCCCAGGGTCGATTTCCGAAGCTCTCTGAGTGTCCGACTAAGCGCTGCAGCTGGGGTAGCGAGAAGCCGCCCTTCTGCGCGCGGCGCCTTGAAGCCAAGCAAAGGCTTCGCTGAGTGGCAAGCCGAAGGGAAACCAGCGGGAACCCAAAGGTTGCAAACTTTCAGGGACAACCAGGAAAGAGCCAGTAAGGGAAACCAGCTGAAAACTGCAACCATTTTAAGGGACCCAGGTGCAGGATGGAATCGGATCTCAAGTTCCGGTTTTGCATCCCTCCTTTGGCCATGGTTGTTTCAGTTCACTTGCCTAAGATTATTTTCATGTCTTCAACCATTTAAAGTGGGCCCCTGACCCCAAACCAAACCAATTCCGCTGACCAAGGCGCGGGCCCAGCATGCAACAAGAGGATCTCCAAGCCGCAGCGCGGCTCAAGTCTGGCACCGGCCAGACTTGAAACCCGTGCATCCGAATGAGAAACAGGTGCCACGAGGGTAGCTCGTCTTTCTTGAAGTGCAGTACCTATTTGCTCGTTTGTTTCTTTTTCTTCTTGGGGGGGGGGGGTTTAATTGATTTTGAGGGGTCCCTAAAAAGGACACACCCGTGTTGACCGTGAGGGAGGAAACCCGACAAACACAAAGTCTCCGTGAATGCTTGGAGAAAGAAAGCGCAATGATTTGACTGCATCTCCTCAACCGGATACTTCTGCAAAGCTGTTGGTCTCTGGACTAGTCTGGCCACCTTTAAAGTCACCACAACTTGCCCCCTAAACCAGAGTTGAGTCCCGAACCAATACCTGCTTGCCGAGAAAAACACTCATTAAGACCGCCGGAGAAAAACATGTTCTACATAGCATTGTGCCATAGACCGCACAACTGTTGACATCTCACGTGCACAAGCGCATAGCATAAAGCCCATTCAAGAAGCCGTTGACGGCTATTGCAAGAGAAATAGATTTCTTTCATCAAGAGGTGCACACTCATGTGCAGAGTGACCTGCTCGCGTGGCCGTGTTTGTTTCACGTAGTCAAGTATGCTCAAGTTGGAACAATGCTCATAGCCTCGAAAGAGGGTGAGTGAGGTCAATTTGGGGGTATGTGAAATTGGGGAGCCCCGAAGTATGGATTTGCTTTATGTGGGCCCTAAAATAGGGAGGCCACCCTTTACAAAACAACTATTGCTGTCCTTCAAACACCATCTCAAGAGGGTAAGGTGTCCCCACTTCAAAGTCGCCCCTAACGAATAGCTCCTCACTTATAAGGGACTAGGCACATTTGTTTCGCCGCTAAGGTTGACCCCGGATGAACAAACTCGTCCTATTAATAAAGGGCTCGCCAAAAGTGGTTCCCCGCAAAAACGACATGGCACCCCTTTATTAACAGAAGAGGGGGTGTTTCCTGGGTCTCCAGAAGGGGTGCTCAGAAAACACTGCGAATACCATGGGTTTCTTTATTAATCAGCCAGGCGGTGGTTCATTAATCCGGGGTTTGACACCACCAGGATGGGGGTAGGGTGTGTTCTTTTTTGTGGGCATCCATGTTCTCTGTGGTCGGGGTGGCGTCGGGGGTTGGGGGGGTGCCTTTGCAACCACAGGACCCCCGCCCGCCCTCCGCCTGTACAGTTTTGGCGCCACCAACTGCGCTGTGGCCTCCGCGGCAGCGGCCACGTCCCTGGGAGTCGGCCGTCTGAAGGCGCCAAATGGTGCTAGGTCCAGCGAGCTTAGAAGAAGTGTACCAACTGTTTTCTGTCTATTTTAGTAGGGGACCCTCGCCCAAAACAGGGTGAAAGGGCACTACTGGGAGACCTAGGGTGGCTTCGGAGTTGTCCTATTCAATTCAGAAACTTGGTAACTTGGCAGCCAAGTTGAGGAGTGGATTCTGAAGAGAAGGATGAGTGGAGAGAGTTTGGAATCAACCCTTATGCAAAGAAAGATAAAGAAAGGCTGCAGCTTTCCCTCTTGCCAAGCTTGGAAGTGGACAGAGGATTCCCCCAAGAAAATGTGGTCTTACCCAACCAGCCTTGAAGCTTCCATCATTGTTGCAGGGAGGGTACACATGGTGTCCCAAATTAGGAGAGGAATCCAAATATTGAACGAGCCTATATTGTAAGGAAGAAACAAGGGGAAGCCTGTCAAAACTCCTGTGTGTTGTTGGTTAGTTTACTTTCAATCCTTAGGGGATTCCACCACACCGCAGTCAATTGGGCACCACGAAAACCTAGAACACTTCTTCAGGCCATTAACCGACTGATTTTAGGGATTTGTGTACTTTTGGAACCTTCCAGGTCATGTCCAAGGGCACTTCACATCACTCAGGTTAACAGTCTCGGCGTGTAACTTCTGTCGGCCAGTGGCGATGTTGCTGCAGTGTGGTGAGTGGGATTTCCGTGCCATCACCAGTACAAACAAAGATGACGATGAGGACAAGGATGATGAGGATGATGAGGATGATGATGATGATAATAAGTTTCATTTAATGATGATGCTGATGAGGGTGAGGATGATGCTGATGAGGGTGAGGATGATGAGGGTGAGGATGAGGGTGAGGATGAGGAAAATGATGACCGTGATGATGATGATGATGATGATGATGATGATGATGATGATGATGATGATGATGATGATGATGATGATGATGATGATGGTAATGGTGATGGTAATGGTGATGGTAATGGTGATGGTAATGGTGATGGTAATGGGAATGGCAATTCCAATGGTAATTGTGGTTTTGTTGGTGGCTGGGCCGGTGGTTTTTGCTGAGGCTGGTGTTGGTGACAACAACGACCACGACTGACGATGACAACTTTGACGACAATGCTCACATCATCTTTCCAGGATGTCCCAGGATGCCCAAAGAGTGTTCCACCAGGATCCATGAGTTCATTGCAACATCACTCATGGGCAAACAACAACAAACAACCTCTGTGCTCATCAAAGGGGCGTTGGCTCGTCAAGTTGGACTGGGGGCAAAGCTGGCCAGCTGCATCCTGGCCCAGGACGGGAGGTGGAAGCTATAAGCATCTAGGTCCTCCAGCAGAGAGGTTCGAATAGGGGTACCCTTCTTTCTGTAGTCTATTTTAGTAGGGGAACCCTCCCCAAAAAAGAAGGCAAAAGGGCACTACTGGAAAACCTCGATTTTGAGGACGTGGCTCCGGCGTCTGTTGCCTGTCTCAGTTGAGGTCGGACGATAGATTTGCTCTCATTGGACCCGCCTTGAATGCTTATCAAGTGTCGAACAGTAGCACGGTCGGGGACTAGTGTCATGTACCTCGGTGTACCCCCCCATGGCTGCACACTGACTATCTTGCCAAGGGCTACCTGGTGCAAGATAGTCCAAGTGGATAATTGCCACGCTGGCTTTGCCTGACGGTACATGCAAGCAGGTGCGCTTTTGTGGTGCTCCGTGATACGAGCACATGCATCATGCACGAGTCCAGCATTACAAGAGCAACTACGTCGCCTTTATGAAGAGCACTGCCAAGTGAATAAGTACGCCTCGTGCAATGCAGGTTCGGTGCGGATGTCTTTCTCATGCTCCCGTTCATATGAAGTAGACCAGGGAATAAACGCTCCCGTTCATATGAAGTAGACCAGGGAACAAACGGCCCCATTCATATGAAGTAGACCAGGGAATAAAGGAGGCACGGAATTATCATGGAAAAACACCACGCCCGGCGATCAGAGGCAGTTGAGCGATGTCCAATCGAGGGAGATGGGGGCTCCGGCTAGAGCAAGCTACTCTCGCCACTTGACACCAGCAACAAAGTCAAAGTCATAACCAAAAGACACTGGTGTACCCAAGAGGTCAAGATCTTTGCTAACCTTGGCCAGCACCTTGGCAAGCCTTTGATAAGCTTTGAATGATACCAGCACCTCCTTGCAGAACAGACATGTAGGGGTTGTGCAAACTTACTTCTGAAAACTGCCCTTTCGCCCGCAAACCTTCCGCAAACCTTCCGCGCCCATTGTAAATCTACACACAAGTTATCACTTCTTTTCGATCAATGCTTTCGGTTACTTGCCCTTCCGCATCTCGTCTCTTCCGCGCAGCTGGAAGCTCATGTCATATTTGGGGCTGGTTTTTTCAGATGGCTTCGGGTTTTTCGCCCTTTTTGAGCGCGCCAGTTGTTCACACCCCGGCCTTTCGCTCCACCAGGCCGCGGCAGAGCGCGTCGGCCAGGTCGTGACTGGCATGGCACTTCACCTTGAGCCCCAAAACCACCCGTGAGACTCAGAATCGACTGCGGTCCCTTTTGCATCAGCATGTTGTTGAAAACCTGAGGAAACGGTCCCTAGAAAAATGGTCAAGAAGAAAAAAACAACAAGAACGTCAGGTTCCATGCCAATTGGTGATTTGTTAAGGGTACTCCAATTGTTTGCTTTGAAGTCAAACAGGATCTCCACTATTTGTTGCGGGGGGGTACTCCATTTTTGTGACATGTGGGTCAGGGTCTGTTCGCTTGGAGGGTTCCGCGTTTTGGTGGCTTTAAAGGGAAAGCAAAAGGAACACCGACATGGGTCGGTCCCTTTTTGAGGGCACCCAACTTGTTGTAGTTTAAAGGAAAGCCACATTTTCCTCAAAACAGACACACACACACACAGGCACAGAAACGGAGCCCCGGACCGTTTACAAACAAACACTGAATTCGTGAAGAACCACCTCGTTGATGGAATTCGTGTAATCCCTTGCACAGGAATCAGCAGGAATCTATGAGGGAACATGAGGGAACCCAATGCCCAAACCGATCAAACCCAACGAAGGTCCAATGGAATTTGTGAGTTCCCGAGGTTGAAATCTAGAGCTCGTTCCATGTCCCCAATGTCCCCAAAAGCAAAAGCTATGCCTCCAATACTCAAAGCCCTAGGACGTTCAGGGAACAAACATTACTACATTCTGGCTGCTGGGGCCTGGGTAGAGTTCTTTATCCCGAAAACAGAAATCCGCAAGGGACATTCATCAGCTGTCTGCCCTCCAAAGAGCTGGGCCAAGAGTTTCAGGCACTCTTTTTGGGTATGTGAAAATAGGGCCACAACAACTGGCGGTGTTCCTATTCGATTTCCCTTCAAGCCACCTTGCAAAGGCTACGCTCAAAACAAAGTATCCATGTTGCATCATCCGCGATTTGCAGAAAGGAAGCCTGCAAATACGTCTGTATAATGGGCAGGAACACTGTTCAACAAGAAAGGAACTCCAGCTTAGGCTGGGTCTCTTGTTGCCCGGTACCCGTACGAAGCCGCAACCCCAAACGCAGTGACCTAGTGCAACTTAACAGGGTTGAGGCAACCGGAGAGAGGATGACCTATGTCGATGTCGTCAAATAGCTCATGCCGAAATGTCTAATGCCTTCACAATCAACGACGCAAATGAGACGCGAGAGGAGGTTGTGCGGTCGGTCTCCGCGGCAAAGGAACAACTGTATTTGGAGGTTCGTTTCCGGCTGCTAATTGTTCTCAATCCGCCCTTCGACGAACAAATCATGGAATCACATGCCTCACAGCTGTGGTACTTGCGCGGAGTTCAAGCAATATATGCATCGCATTCACGGAAGCCTCCACTGCCACTGCCTTCGTGCCAGGCACGCGACTTCAGTGTTCAACTGTAAAACTGGGATTTCGATGTGTTCTTAGAATGATAAAAGGGTATTACTCTGACCAGCATCACATGTCTTGGGGCCATGTCATTACATTGCGTGTCCGAACTCTGTTTGGGTGTGTCTCAAAATAGGGGACACCAAATAGCAAGGGTGTCCTTTTCGTAAGGAAAGAACTCCAAAATGGGTACCGAACCTCAAAAGAAACACCAAGCGAGCAAGCAAGCAAACAACCAACAATCCAAGCAACCGGTTTAAAGTTTAAAGCAAACCAAAGGAAAACCGATATTAATATGGGTCTGCCTTTTTGCGAGGGTACCAACTTTTTGTTTGAAAGGGAGCCCAGCCCGCAAAGCCGATACTGACCAAACTGGGCTGTCCAAACTGACCCCCTGCGAAAAGTTTAACTTCTGCGTTAAATTCGGAAGCCCAACCACTACAACAACTAAAAGCAACTAAAAGCCTAAGTTGCACCGGAGAATTCGCCTGGCCGCCAGCGGTCGCGGTGCTCCGAATTTCTAGGAGCCGCACCTTGGCCGCCGCCGCCAGCAACGACTTTGCTCGTGCCACCTCCAGCCTCCGCGAATGCAGCCGCTCACGAAGGCGTGAACGCGAATGAGCCAGCCGGCCGAAAACGAACGAACGCGACGCTTGGTTTGGCGAACGGTTCGGAAAATTGGGGGGGGGGGCACGGTATAAATGGGCTGTCCGTTTTCTGATCCCCTGCTAAAAGTGACGAACTGTTAGCGGGTTGAATGAAAACCAACCACTAAACCAGCTAAACATCTAAAAGCCGCCTAGCTATATGGGGCTATGTACCCACTAAGCCTATCTTCGTTGTACACCTACTCAGTTTGGATTAAACAACTTGCCAAATGCTATTTTGGTTGTAAGCATGCTCAGTGGCAAAAACCCTCATTAGGTGACCAATAGAACAGCTCTATCAAATCGATTAACTGTCCTTTGGTGCAAGCTGGAACCCATTTACTAGTTAAGTTTAGGGCCCCCTGACCTCAGGGTAAGCCCTTCATAGCCAACCAAGGCGGCGCATGCGTTTCAGGTCGCGGGTCAGGTAGCATGCAAAGGATTGGGGGGGAGATCCATGTGGTTTCCTTTCAAAACCACAAAAAGGGATACCCAGGCCCACAAAAAACGACACACGTGCTGTCACATTCTACAGGCTGGTGAGCAAAGCGATTTGAGTTCCTGATTGAGCCACCAAGCCAGGTTGAATTGCAAACACATTTACAAATATGGATGGAGCTCAGCCCAACAAACATAGGTAAACATATATTATGATATGTTGTCCAGCGGCACTTCGGCCATGGTCAAACTATATTGGTCATTGCCGAAGTATGTTTTGGATAAGTGGGGGTGGGTCAAAATGAAACCACCAGAAAACCGCAGGTTTTAGTCCTGGGTTTCATTTACCAGGGTTCCATTTTGGGTACCTGTTTTTGACCCACGGCCAAGTAAAGCCGCCCAAGAATCTTAGCATGATACCCGGTGCTCCAAAAGCGCCCCTAGAGAACAGCAACATCGGCATGACACCGGCGACCGTTCGCCTGTGGGCCCTCGTTGCCAAGACCCCAAGCAGGACCGCCATTGCCTTGCAAGCGGCGAACAAACTACCATGCCATCCGTGAGCAACCACCAATCAGTTTGACAAGCCCTTGGACATGTTCCAGGCGGGAACCCGCCCAGCTTGCTCTTTCACTCCCTCGCTAGCCACCCACCTCGCTAGTGGCCGGCTGAAAGCTAGCTTACGCTACGAATTCTTGAGGAGCTTGCCACGGGCATGGTCCTTGCACCACAGTGGTGCACCGGCCCACGGCCGAAAAGCGTCACGTAGAACTCCCTGCGACTCCATCCTACCACCATGCCTCCACTTCAATACTTTAAACTGTGGCAGAATCCAGCCGTAAAGCAACTCCAAACAACATCCAACGACTCGAACCCCAAGTCTGACCCCAATTCTGACCTGCATGTGTGTATGGGTTTCCCCTATTGAAGCTCAACATGCCTTTGGAGGAGGCCCTTTTTGTAATGCCACAAAAGATTTCCATTTTTCCTCCAGCAGTCTTGTGTTTGCTTGCCTAGAGTACTCCCTATGGTCGTCCTTTACTGTTTGCTCGGAAAACAGTAAAGCACAAAAGCAACCATAAAGAACATCTTCCCATTCAGCTTTCCTGTCGGCAAAGAACAGGCAGCCAACCATCATGTTCCATCCGAATTGGAAAAAAGGCGCTTTCGCTTGCTGGTACTCAGCAAGCAAACCTGAGAAATAGAATGAACCCCCAAGAATAAGAATCCAACTTGTGGTTTTGCTTTCGGCAATCAAGGGCTCGTGCCAACACCCGGACTGGGACAGTGCTGGTGTCTGATGCCCACCTCTGGACGGTGCATGACTGCCAGCGCCTGGCAAAGGACAAGGACATAAGGCTGGCGCCTTTCTGTCCCCAACCCCCGTTGCAAAAATGGTGAGAACCTGAAAAGGGGCACCAAAATGCTGAGAACAAGGGTCAAGTGAGGTTTCTTTTTGGTGCTGAAAACCACAACTCACTTGACCCTGGACTGGCCAAAAGTAGCCAAACTGTTCAAGTTCATTGACAATGTAAATGAACACTTGCAGCTATCAAATCTCTGAGGCGAATTTTCCATTTGGCAGAGAATGCAGAGACAGCTTCAGGCAGTTAACTTTGGATTATGCAGCTGCGCATCGCGCAGACTGGTCGACTCAAGGCAAGTCTGTTCTTGCATACATCCACAAGAGTGGCTCGCAAGGGACGGGCAGCATTGAGCGAGTAAAAAGACACAATCAAATGCCCACGCATCACGATCCTCGACATGCACCTAGCCAGCAAGCGAGAACGGCTCCAAGCACCAGCACAACTCCGGTGGATAGAACCACAGCACCAGCGATGGTAAGAGCCTCTGCCGCTGTTTTGGAGTCTTTGATGTCTTCCGACGGGTCAAAAACCTTCATGCACACTTCTTGTTCATAGACGCATTGATAAAACTCTGATACCTGTGACGTGGTTCGCCAGCATGGTACGTCCTGTTGCTCGGAAAAGCTGCCGGGCTTCTGAGCTGAGGCATCACATGTCGACCCACTGTGGAGGCGCTCTTCTCTTGACCAATACCACACGCCATTGTATGCGAATCGGTACTGGTAGACGTCCCAGCAGGTAGTGCCCTTGTCTTGTCCAGCCTTTTCTTGATGCTCCTCCCTTCGGTGCTGTACCTCCATGATCGTGCCTAAGCGCCGGTGCCTTTTTCGAAAAGAAAGTTCAACTGTGGAAAGGACTTGAGGGGTTAAAGCGAACTTGTGAGACTCCAAGAAGTGAACTGGTGAGACTCGAAGAAATCCAGATATTCAGTCAAGCCTGAGGGGAAACCAAAAGGTTTCAAGCAAATTCGTAAGCCGGGCATCGCAAGCAAGTCGAAAGATCCGGACACCCCACCCCCAAAAAAATAATGAAAAGAAAAAGAAACAACCAGCTTCTTTTCAGTGCCCTCGATTCATGTTTTGGGTGCTATGATCAATTTTGAAAAATAAGGACACTTAGTCCTAAATCAAAGAGGTCACTTAAGCCATTTAAAGGGCACTTAGACCCTGAAGGTTGCCCTCCCCAGCAGATCCCTCCTCAGTCCGGGCAAATCAAGTCGCAGCGACACGTGAATTTCCACTCACACGGGGGCGGGACCGACGCAGCGACACGCAAATGACACTCACGCAGGGGGGACCGACACTAGCGTAAGTGACCTTTTCAAGGGGTAAGTGACCTCGATTCGCACCCCAATGACACTCAAATGACACGCTTTGACACTCAAAACGCCATGTTCGGGCTTTCCGGGTCGGCGCCAATCAAATGTGGCAGTTGTCACGCTTCGACACGGGTGGCTCTTCGATTTCAACAGAATCCCAACCCCTACCAAGCAAAAAGGCATAGCAAATGAATCAAAGGGGCACTTAGGCCACCGACACTGCCTTAAGTGCCCTCGATTCAAAAACAGGCCAAGTGCCCTCCATTGGAGGGCACTACAAATATGCTGGAACAAGAAAAGCTTTCGTCCTCTCCGCCCAAAAACGAAACGGGGCCGACCGTTCGCTCCGAAGCGACGCTTGAGCCACGTTACAGGTGCCGGCGGAGGAGAAGTCCTGAGTCGGATCTGCCTCGGACAACTTGGCCTGATCAATCAGCCCCAAAGGGAGCAGGATGCAGCCGACCACCAAGGCAATGGGCCCCAGGATTCCTCAGAGACTCGAGTCTGACATGAACAAAATCTTGCACTTGGCAGGTGGCATGTCTCAGTTTTCGTAGGGTTACGTCCAGCACTGCTGCGTTTTGTGGAACCATCCACACCAGGAAATCAGTCATAGCCTAGCAAGCGGGCCACTCCAGGGTTGAGACAAGGCCGAGTCGCCGGAAGTCCAACCAACGGCACACGGCACCGAACATGGCATGGCGGCCAAACGGTTCAATTGGAGTGACGTCTCGAACAATCTGCTCGGACTGCTTGAGCCTATGGAAGCCTACGGGACACGGTGAAGCCGACTCAGAGCGCGTTTGACAGCTTCGCGCATCCTTCGCGTCCCCCTAAAACCAAAAGCCATGTCTCGAAGCTGTGGCCTCCGCAGCCTGCTCAAGGTCCTTCTGCTGCAGGTCTAAGATCTCCTGAATTCGCGGGAATGATTTCTGTTTCTTGAGTTGCTGCCCTGCTTGGCTCAAAAGCAAATCTACATTATACACCCCAATCTCCTCCTATTTTGCCATGCCCTCGGGCCAACGCCTGCTTTAAAAAAAGAAGCTGTTGACCCGCACACCTTTTAAGCCAATCTGCCTAAAAGCAAATCCCAATCAGCTGCGAGCATCCGGCCTAGCACTGCACACCCTAAGTGTATGTGCAATCCGTTCCCGGCGACCGATTATTTATCAATGCACCCTGGTAACAAATACGATTTTTCCCAAGCCCCAGGTCTCCCAAATCTCCCAATACGAAGTCAGGGGGACCGCGCAGCCGAAACTGATCCTCAGTGTCTCCGTGCACCGTGTTCACCGCAAGCTCCACAAGCTCGGGATCTACAAGCCTCGCGCATGGGACGCTTCGTTTCGGCACTTCATGTGGATTCATGTCCTCCCACTTTGAGGGTGGATTAACATCCATAGCCCGGCCGTCAAACACACGACACCTGAGCGCCTTCAAGTTTATGGCATCACTGCACGGTTCTCGCGGTTCCTTGCAGGAAAGCATGACTCCAACCGGAGATACAGCAGGGATGACATACGCTCTCTCTTTCCAACAATGGAAGTGGACAGCATGCCTTTGCAAGATGATAGTCTTCCAGAGCCCTGTGCGAACAAACGGAAGTGCCGCGGGACATATCTTAGACACATTATTATATAAATAATAATAATAATAATAATAATAATAATAATAATAATAATAATGATAATAATAATAATAATAATAATAATAATAATAATAATAATACCAATCATAATAAATAATAACACTAACACAAAAAAATAATACCAACAAATAACAATAAGAACACTAATTATGGGGTTCTTGAGGGAGGGGGGTGTAAGGGGAGGGGGTAGTTGGAACTCCCTAAATAAGTACAACCTTCCCTAGCAATTCCTAGAGCTCCTTAGCCAACCCTAGCACTCCCTCCCTAAAAGATTCTTAGGCTCCCTTAAGCTCCCGCGCTTCCGCTTTGATTGTGGCTAGGTTGGGTTGGGACAAACGATGGCTTTACCCCCTCAGCTGCAAGTGCTGCTGGCCAACCCACAATTCAGCGGGAATGCAGTTTGAAAGGGGAGGGCAAGGGATTCTTGGGGAAACTCTGAATTGATTGGGAGGCTTGGGGAGGCTTAGGGCGTGCTCGGGGAAGCTTAGGGAGCCTTGGGGAAGCTTGGGGAGCCTTAGGGAAGGGAAGCTTGGGGAGCCTTAGCCTGGGGAAGCCTCGAGAATAGGAATCGGACCAATCTGCTTCAGTTGGGTTGCATTTTAAAAAAAAAAACGAGCAAAGGACGGCGTGCTTTGCGAAGAGACTAGTGGATTCAGGATTTGAACCCTGCGTTTTCTGGGGCTCCCTAGTCCACCCCCATTTATCGCCCCCTCTTACATCCCCCCCTTAAGAACCTCATAAACTAATAATAATAAGTATAATATATACATATATGAGTCACCGTCAAAAAACCTTGTCTGGGGTGTATTCATTGCGACGTTAGGATGTCTCATATCGTTTTCAGCGTTGTTTGTTCTCAGGTTTTGGGGTAGGTATCGCTTTGTGACGTCTTGCATTGTTATTTTTTTCCGGGAAAGGGAAAAAAAGCAACTTGTCCTCACCTAAAGTAAATGTCGGTCATCTTGAAGCTGACTCATGTCTCTGCCCTGTGCCGGAGACATGGCGACACAATCGGCGTAACAAAGACCTTCCGGCTCTCAAAATAGGGGAATCTTCAAAATGGCTGTCTTCTTTTTGGCTTTCCCTCAACCCAAAGAAGTTCCACCCAAAAGAGTCAGACAGGGACTTCTCTCCCGCCTGATCTTGGTGAAGATGCTGAGCAGCTTCACCGCATCAGCCAGCCCAACCTGCTCCGGGCACAAAAAAAACAACTTGGGGCCCATAAAGTAGATCTCGACTTGACATGTGTCTTGTCGGACACGTGTCTTGTCCTCAAATCACAGGGGCTTGGAGGGAGGGGAGGGGGAGGGAGAATCAGGTCTTAAGCCTTTCAGGCCCTTTTTGGGCTCTCCCTCACCCCTCGCTCCCCCTTAGGCGCATTGAAGGGGAACCAAACTGAAAGTCCCGGACCCATCAAGTATAGGTGACCTTTGGGTGTTTTTCGGGGGCACTATTGACAGCCCTTGGGGGTTGCACCCAGTGAAACCCATGATCAAGACCATACGTGTGTGTGTGTGTGTGTGTGTCCTCTTTTGTTTTGAGGATTCCGAGCCCCAAATCCCAAGCAAAAAAACAACACCACCGAAACAGGGGGGTAGCTCCCCTGCTCAAAGGTGAACTTTCTTTGGGCGCGGATTTATTTCGGGATTTGTTTCGCCTGTTCTTTTTTTTTCTCCTTGTTTTCTTCTTTTTTTGGTTGGTTGTTTTTTGTCCCACTTTCTTTTCCCAAGATTGGGACGCCCAACGCCGCCGTCTCATTTGAGTCGAAGCCCTCGCTGGCCTGGCAACTCAGCTCTCGCAAGCGCCTCGCGAAACGAAGGCGCGCTTGCGAAGAGCTGGGCGCCGAAAAGATTTGAGGGTACCAAAAGGGGCTTGTACTTTTACTAGGTCCTCCAGTAGAGAGGTTAGAATAATGGTACCAACTTCTTTCTGTAGTCTATTTTAGTAGGGGAACCCTCCCCAAAAAAAGGGCAAAAGGGCACTACTGGGGGACCTAGTTCCTTTCCAACCCTTGGTATGGTAGCAAAGCAACACTTAAAGCTGTTTGCCTACTGTTTCATGAACCCTGAAAACAACGATTTCGGAAGGATCTCCCCTTCCGCGAACGTTTGTTGAGCCCTTTTTTTGCCCCGGGTAAGAAGCCGTCCGCATGTTCATGACTTACCAGGGTCAGCGTTTAATTTGTTGATTTCATATTATCCCAAGAATGGGTAGCTTCTGTGTAATGACGTTTGCTTTGCTGCAGTGAGACCACGGCAAAGTGAGGCTGACAACAATTGGGCTTGTCTCAAATAAACCCTCGAAATGGTGGAGTTCCGTGTTGTTGCCCTTTAAATCACCCCCAAACAAAAAGGCACCCCCAAAAAGACAGGGAATTGGTACTGGGGGGGAACGGATTCTCAGACCATCCCAACCAATATCCCGGCCTGTAAAACGCTTCCCAGAAGGGCACGTGCTGTATCCGCCACCTGACAGGATTGCTCCCATTCAACTCAAGCAGAAAGTTATTGTTTGGACAAGGGCAACCCTGTTTGGTTCTACCCTTGTGGGCATACCCCTGATCTACGCTTCTTATATAAGTTCCCTTATACCAAGGTCCTACCCTTGTTTGGTTGCTAGGTTGGAAGAGCTTATCTTGGGAGATCAGATAAGAAATCGAGCCTTGTGAGCCCGCAGGGCTAGCAGTCACCGGCTGCCGCTATGTGCAAGGTACCAATATCGAGGAAGCCGAATGCAATGAACTGCCCCTTGCATTGGGTTCAAATTGAATTGATACACTTAGCTCAATTCTTTGGACCCAACCTTTTCTGGCATGTGATGCATGTAGCATGGCCTTTTTACACAACGCCTGCTTCCCTAACAGGCACCACACTCGTGGCACAAACCACCCAAATGATTCATCGCTCGTGGCTCCTCACCAGCACCTGTTGGTGTCCTTCTGGTTCCCAAAAGAACACCAAGCCAAATTTCAGGCACCCTCAAGATTACACGCCTTTGCCTTTGCGATAGCGCACAGTGTCTGTTCGCAGTGATTTATTGGGGGGAGGGGGAAAGAAGGAGAAGGCCCCAAGATTACACGCCCCTTCAGCTGCAACGATTCCTTGCGCTCTCCGCCTTGACGCCTCCTTGCCATGATTCAGCAGGTGGCCCAGGGACATGACTCGGGTGTCCGCCTGCGCCTTACGCGGACACCGTGCGGAGTTTCCGCGCGGAAGACGCGCGAAGAAGAAAAAAAAAGGGGCTCAACGTCCAATTTCGGTTTCGCCCCCTGGAAAGAAATGAGAAAGTGTTTCCTGTAGTGAAAACGAGTCCCTTCAAAACCAACAAGGTAAAATACAACATATTTGTAAGCAAATGGAAGTCAAGCAACATCAGACATGATCGCCGAACCCGAGTGCCTGGGTTTACTCGCAATGGTGTGTCTCTGCTTCACAGAAAAACAAATTATTATGTTGAGTTGTTCTTGTGAAGCTAGTATTGTATTGATGATGCGTGCTGCAAGAAAGGCGACTGACCATGTTGCTGACTAACCACCAATGACCGACAGCTCCTGACCAGTTCAACATCATCTGGCTCCAAGGCTCTGTCTGTTGTCACAAGCCACGACTCAATTCCCATTGCAACATGACACGGCCCGATTTCTACTGTACTTTCCATGAACCCGATTGGGTTTCAGGCAGCAGCTTTCCGGAATCCACCCGTCGCGCAAGCTGGCGCTGGGGATCCCAACCACGGCTGGCATGCCGTCCACCATGGTTGGCCTCGGGCTGTCGGAAGCGGCACGGCGCGGCCGGACCGTCTCTGACGGCCAATGCTGGCTGCTGGCCGCGCTGGCACTTTGGATTGCGCTGACTGCGGCCAAGGCGCAGAATCTTGAACCTCCCAATCGGCAAAACTCCAACTGAGATGGTTCAGGATTCCAGGTCTACAATGCATTCAACTAGGTCAGCCAGGTGGTGTTCCCAGAGGCACCATCCTATCGCGCGAAGAAATTCTGCCATTCTTTCACTGCGATGACGAAGTACAAGGGCGCAGAGAAGGCCAGGATGGTGGTTTCCCAATTGCTGAGGGACGGCAAGAGCATGAGCTGCAACTTTGCAAGTCAGAATCCCTGGTATTCCCCACTCAAGAACATGAGATCACCGATCCAAATCCGTAGTGGGACTACCACCTGGCTGTGGGTCCAAAATGGGTAGCCAACATGGGTTGCCCTGGTAAATGGAAAGGACTACACCTGCGGTCCGTTTCCTGGTGGAATAATTTTGACCCATACACATCTGGCATGAGGATCAAAACCACGCAACTTGTACAGCATCTGCGGCCATCGTCCCCTCGCCCCCCACTTTATTTCAGGCCTCCAAATCTCAGCCTGGCACCGGGCAACGTGGCCAGAGCGGGCTACCGGATTTGTTCCCATGACCACGGATCCCGAGGAAGCAGAACTCAAGGCAGATCTCAACTCACCTTTGAAGAAAAACAGGTCGCACTTTCTGTGGAGCCCATAAGACTTCCCAAGCGACCAAGTCCTCATGTTTGGCTTCCATGTGGAATTTGCAAGTGGTTTTCTCAGGTCTTCTCGGTTGAAGCTAAGGCGGGGGCTCCTGTCAGGATTCTGACACTTTTCATCTCGAAACTCGAGGCTTCCATTTTCGATTTCTTCCTTTGACACTCTCCATTTCAACAAAGGGAAAATAAGACATGTTCTTAGGCAAACATTCAAAGTATGGGCCGTCTCTTTCCGCGGGCACATGTGGTTTGTGCTTGTTTTTTGTGTTTTTTTTCTTTTCGGGGAACCCATTGTTGCTTGGCAGTTCCCAGCCGTCCGGTCCCTTGGCTTTGCCTTGGTTTCTCCATTACATACCCACTAACAAGTTGTTTTGTAGGCTTTTAGGGCTTAGTGGTTGGGTTTCCCTTTGACCCACAAAGAGTTCGTCACTTTTAGCAGGCGATCTCAGGAGACGTGCCGCCGGTTTGGCCCATCGACACACCAAATCCTTGGCCTTGCCATGTACCCTGGCCGCGGCAAAGCAGCGGACTCCTGTCTGAGCCATGCGGATTGACGCAGTCCCTGTTGCACCACGAAAGGAAACCATGGTTGAAACCAACAAGTTTGTTGGTATTTACGTTGGGGAGTCATATCATTCCAGGGTTTTTGATCAGTGGCCCAGGATTTGCCAATAGTATGAGTGTGAGTTTTTGTTTCTCGGGGGACCCACAAAATTGTGAGTTTCCTTGTGGTTTACCTTTGAACACTACCTCCAAAACAGACACCCCCCCCATAAAATGAATGTTTCTCAGATGTTGCTTGGAGTTTACAGGGAAATCCAAAGAAACCCAACCACTTTAGCATTTAGGCGTCCAGTATTGTGAGAAACCCTATCCCACAACTACCCATCAATTGATTTGAGCCCCTAAAGCGCTACCCTGGATAAACCAGCTGCCAGATGCAAAATTTCGTCTAGGGCTTTTTTTTCTGCAGACCTTCCCATGCTCAGAACACGGTCCCTATGGGAAACACTTCCCCAAACCACCAAAAATGAGACTCTGGAAAGCGTTTTGGATGTTGCGAATCTCTATGGATCCACCCCTGTAGGATATTAAAAGAGCACAGAAAGACTGCTAGAAAAGGACGAACAGGAAAAAGAACAGCTGAAATCCACAAAACAAAAAACAAAAAACATCCAAACCGTTGTCTAGAGGACCATGCCGTGCATAGCACTATGCAAAAGCTATCCGCTCGGAAAAAGGTTTCGGGGTGTAAGACCAGCAATTCGGGAGCTTGGGCTTTAGTCCGGAGCTTCTCCTCCCAAAAGATGTTCCTGTATGGGTGTACGGTGAGAGGATGTCAAGGAGTGTCTGATATTTTTGTCATGCTCTCCGACCTCACTGCACAACACTCCAGTACTGCCGCCCTTAGAGCCCAAGAAGAACCGTCTCCTGGCGGCCAGCGCAGAAACATTGCTCAAGGCATTTCTGGGCTCTTCCATGTCTCTGGCCACTACCCTTTGTGTGAGGTTTGGCTGATGCATGGCTCTGTGCAGTCTGCAAATACTTGGCAAAGCCAGGGCTTTTTCGAGGCGCGCTGTCTTGACACGATGCTGCAAAACAAAACATGTAATAGTAGTGTGCGTGAGTGAGAGGGGCTCTTTGACAACACCATGTTTTGGTGGGTTTGGAGGGAAATCAAAGAAACCCGTGAATTCTTTGGCGGGAGGGGGGGGGGTCTCGCTATTTTGACAATTGCACGTTTCTGCGGAAACATACTCCTCCAGCTTCAATTGTCCGCATCCCCATGCAGCATGGCTCAAGCACTGCAGGGCGCGCCGAAATGACGCGCTGCTTCCGTTTTGCACAATGCCAGGTCAAGTGCTGAGATTTCACAAAACCAAAACAAGCACCTCCCTTCTTGGACCCAAGTGCTGAAATCACATAAAAAAAAAAAAAACAAAAACAAAAAACACGTGACTAAGCACCTCCCTTGAGACTGGCCGCTCAGAAAGGCACTCACTCTTACCGCTGACAAAAGAGTCGTCCCAGTGACGACCAAAAGCCCATGAACTCAGGGACTGATTCAGGACTGCCAAAATGGCCTTAGGGCACTTTTTGGAACCCGAAGGCACAAGAAAGCCTCGAACACGTTCATATGAAAATCTAAAAGGCTGGGCAACTGGGTGGGTTTAAACAGAAGCCACCACTTTTTTTTTGGGGGGGGGCTCCAAAAAAGACACCCAATGTCAAGCGAAAGTTTGGTCTGACAAGCGAAGAACCGAATCTAAGCCCACAAATCTTGGAGCCGTCTGACCAAAGAATCAACCATCTCTCACCAACCAACCCTAGACCCCGCTTCCCCAACCACTGAACAGGTGGCAGAAACCACTCATATCGCCGCCGCCCATCGCCCCAATATGAATGAATCGCGGACAATGGTTGTTGCCCGGGAGGCCTGATGTTTGTGGAAAGATTGGGTTATCTGTCCGCCCAAATCAACAGTATAGACTACCAATAATGTCGCCTGTTGCACGAATGAATATCCGACAATATTGCCACCGAAAACCAACAGGGTTCCAGAACCCTGCATTGTGGTCCCCAATCTTAACGGTGGGTTACCTGGTTGCCCTTTCATCTACCAGGGCGTCCATTGGATCCATCTCGAGATCAGCCTCGGCAGGAAGGCCCCGAAGTTTGCCAGAGTCGGCCGTGGCGAGCGGACAGAGTTCCTGAAGGCTTGGCAAAGGTCCACATCACATCTCTCCGTGGTTTGGTTTGGACCCGAATCAATGGTTTGGGCGGGAAGGGGTTTCCCATCCGTCCACAGCCAGGGGGTCAGATCCTACCAATCCAAAACTGAGAGTTGCCTGAAAGGAGGTACTTTGACCCCTCATGACTCATGAAAAAAAAACGCAGCCACGTCAAGCAAATGCCACTCGCTGGACTGGCCTGTTTCAGTAAGTTGGGGCTAAGCAAGTAGGCCAACCGACCCCTGTTGAACCACTTATAACCACAATGGCCTAATTTCTGAATCTGTGGAATATCCAAGTATGGCATGCTAGGCGCACAGGAAGCAAGGCAACGCCCTGCTCAAACTCATGGGTAGAATCAGTGACAAGGGAGTCCTGGCAATAAGCCAAGCCAAACGCACAAGCCAGCCAAGCAACCTTTGATGCCCGGTCTTTCTGGGTAGTTTGCTCTGAAAACTTGTGTAAACCGTGGCAATGTCCCATCACACCTCTTTATTCGTCCAGGGGGTCGCTTCATGGCTTGCAAGGTGTGCTACGCCATATAAAAAATAACTCAAGGGCTGGAGGGGCTTGGGGATGGTATGGAGAGCCCGAGCGACCCGTACCACACCCCGAATTGCTTTGGGGGTGTCAACACAAATGGAAGATACGCATTCACGCGCCAATTGTCTTCACTGAAAGTTGCTTTCTTGACTACGAGGGTGAGCAGCCATTCATGTTCCAAATCCATGCCAGTGTTTGATAGGGCATCAGCGAAGTCTTCAAAGTGATCCTTGGCTAGTGTCCTACTCAAAACGGAAAAGGGCAAGGCCAACGGCCTGCTGGCCTTCGCGTGCGAGAAAAGCCCACAAGCTTAGGATGCGAACCAAGTGATCACTTCTTTGACCAACGACGACATGTTGCTGGGGAGAAACGAAAAACACCAGCCTGTTCTGAAGCAATACAGGGTAAAAAGAAATGCAGTGGAGCAGTTGGCTTGGCCCCGGCAAATCCCGTGGGGAAACAAACACTGCCGGTGTGCCCTTGTCAAGATCTCTCCAAGTCATCCCAGTGATCGCCTGAGCGTGTACCAATGAAAAGCAGCCTTTACGGGTGCGCACCCATCCCTGGCAACTTGCCTTTAGTCAGATTCCCACATCCAATGGGAAAGTGACTTCCCAAACAGGGTATGTCAATTTCCCGTGGGCTAACGGTTACAAAAAAAAAGGTTCGATAGATTAGAACCAGTGCAAGCCGTGCCACGCAGACCACGAAACTCCTACAGCTCAAGCCCCCCCCCCCCGGCCCCGATCGCCTCGCCTTGGGGAGCTCGCAAACTGAGCCTTCGCCATCCTGCGAGAGGCGCGGGCTGTGGAAGATCCAGCAGAAAAGGAAGGCTTCGGTGAAGGCAACTTTCAGCCACCTCAATGCCCCACCTTGCTTAACATCGGCCTTCATTTGTGTCCAAGATTCCTCAGCTCAAAGGCGACCCCCCCGACTCCCCACATCAAGCAAGGTCCCACATTACCACTTACCATCACTTACCATCACTTACAGTGCTTTTCTTTGGGTGCCATATATTCCCCGGGTAGAGCAACCACTTCACCACCTGGCCCACCCACTTCGTCACTGAGAGCCGAGCCACCGAGCCACCCCCACCGCGCTTGGATTTTCGCTCAGGGCGCGGCCAGCTCCCCGCGCGGAGTTCGCGCGGAGACGGGCCCGCTGAACCGAAGCCGGCGGCAAACCGTCTCTGTGCTGAAAACCTCCTGTGCTATGGGTGAGTCTTTGCCCACATATGGCTTGGAAGCAAAGGGAGAAACAGGGAGAAAGAGAGAGCTCACTTGAGAGAGAGGGAGAAAGAGAGGGAAAGGGAGAGAGAGAGAGAGAGAGAGAGAGACAGAGAGGGAGAGATTGGACTTACAGAGAAACACCAATGTGGAGCCCGGCTGCAACTTACATCCTTGTGATCCCTGCAGACAGCTGGTCTCAACATGGGAACCGACTCTGACCCAACCGAAAAATTTGGGCCCAACCAAAATGAAACTCAAAGAACTGATTGATCAGACTGCCTTGCCTCCAAATGGCTATGGGTAACTTGTGTTTTCCATGTGGGGAAAAATAAATAAATATTTATTTTCCCCTCATGGGCATCCCATGAGCATCCCGTGTAAAGGACCTATTTTGATCAACCCCCATGGAGGTAACCAAGCAGGTAAAACGAGGCCCCAGGCTCAACACTGCTGGCTTTTTCATCCGCACAGCAACTCTGCGCGCGATATCCATCCTTGCGACTGCAACTGCCGCGCGAAAACCGTTAACTAGGCAAAACTGCCAACAGGGGCTTAACACGAAGCTGGAAAAACCCAGCATATCAAACTAAAAAAAATGAAGCAACCGGAATGGCGCCATCTGCTTACATGTTTATCTTCCGCAAGACTCTCATGGCCGGGGCAGCTCAAAGTCCAGGGCGAACTCGATGCACCAGAGGATGTACTGACCAACGCCCTGCAACTTCCGGTTCAACAAGTAGCGCAGCATGATGCCTGGCACGAAACCAGATTTCTTGCTCACGTCCGATCGCTGGGCCAAGCAACCAAACATTTCATGGACTAAGATGGTATTCCCCAAAAGTGACTGAAGTGCAAGAACTCAGGAAGTGAGAGATTATCAAAGTGGAACCTCTGGGCTGTTTTGAACCAGTGAACCTTATGTCATATCTGCCTTTTTGCTCTGCCTTTTATTCGATACCTCTTGTGCCACGAATTCTTCCCAAGAAAGTCGGGCTGATTTACCATGGGTTGCTTCAGCTCCAGAATGGACATTTTGTCATGTTCCATTCCCACGGCAAAACTGAGTTGAAGGGGTGAACAAACTTTATGAACCAGGAATCATTATCCTCCCTCCAACCTAGGTGAGAATACCTGGAAGATGAATTTCCCCTTGACGGCCCCAATTGCCAGGTCTTGGTGGGAGGGTATCTGGATTTCATGAAAATCGATACCTGAAATTTGGGATCCAGGACCTTTAGCAGATCGTGTTGCTCAAGCTCGGTATCATTTGGGTGTGGTTCCTTTTTGTTCCTTCTTTTTTTTCCGGGGGAAGCCTCTTTTGGTTGGTTTTAAGGGAAAACCAAAAGGAAACCAAAAAGACACACCCATTTGCGCAGTTTGATATGCCACAGACCCACAAGTGCTCTGAACCCAGATGTCAAATGCTGGGCCCTGGCACCGTGAAAGACCTCCGTTTCATTAGACTTGCAGGCGGGCATTCACACACACTCCCACTTTATCAACAAACGCTAGTATATTTGGAGGCGAGCATTTGCATTGATCTCACCTAGCTCATCAGCAAACCCTTCAACGCTACCAGTAACAGTGATGTTCAAGTTGGGCAATGGTCTTTTCAAGAACACTACCCTGCTCATAATCAAGCACGCTTGCCCCCAGAAAAGTCATCTGGGTCAGATGATCTCACCGCCACCGCTCAGCATTCACGTTCATTGAAGTGCAAACTGGGTGCGTGCAATTGCCACCAACACGAATGTGGATAAGATACTCAACATGACAAATCCTGACAAAACTGCCATGATGTTGGTCTAGGCCTTGATTCCCCGGAAATTTTAACTATCGCTCAAAAAAAAACGATTACGACCCTGGAAATTGGGTTGTCTTCTGGCAGAAGGATCCCTGGAAACAATTGAACAATTTCCCCTCGAGCTACACAGCAGGGCCACATCTAAGCGCAACAAGCGGCGCATCAAACCTGTCAGCCAAGTCGCCATCAAGATGATGCTCATTTGCAAGGTAGCCCTGGATGCACACCACCGTCGAAGCGCAGCATTCAAAAAGCGCAAAGACGGGTTGAAACTTTGCACGCATTTCTGTAGGGGGTTCTATTGCACGCATCCGTACTGTGGAAGACCCTCATCGTCATTGCAATTTTCCTCGGGGCCACTTTTCTGTTGGTGCCCTTGCTGGGAACGTCTTCCAACTGTAAACAGCTTACTGTTGAGCCTCCAAGTGGCGAGGATGCACACTTGCCCCAATCCAAACACGACATAATGTTCGCGCGTTTTGTGGAAACAGTGGGACACCTTGCTCCTTGTGACTAGCCTTAAAATTCTGTAGTCAGAGCAACCCCGCCCACTTTGGTTTGGTTCTCTGCACACTGCCTGACAGTGGAGAATCAAAATCAAGCCACCGCCTTCCTATCAGCTTGGTGCACGGCATCCCACATTGCACTTCATTATTTTGCCCGCGAAGGGGGGGGGGCCAAGAAATTGCTCAATGCATCGAATTCGTCTCCGGGTTGGGCCAACCTCTCGGTGCCAAATGTTCAAAGCACTTTTGCTTAAACCGACTCCTTCTGGTTCCCTTCAAGACAAAATATTGTCCAGCTGCTCAAACACATCTTGCCCAACCTGGTCTCCACCCTGGAGCAGTGACTCCCAAACAGGAACGTATGAGACACGGAAAAGTATAACACATCCCCCCTAAAACCTGAGGAACTGGCGCCTCACCGATTTTTGGTCATGCCAGGCCGCTCCCAACGAACCACATCAGGAGCCTTTGACCGAACCTCAAACCCCATTGCTCAAATATTCACATAGTGGCGGGTGTATTTTGAGCTTCCAGACTGACTTCAAGTGAGAATAAACATGAACACCGATCTCCCATTTTTGGGATGCAGAAACATTGGTCTAAAATCCTTTTTGTGGGGTTTCCCTTTAAGCCAACCCCCGTCAAATTGGCACCCTCCAAAAAAGCGCACCCTCAACAAAAACGCGTCACCCACAACAAGGAAACTCACTCGGAGGTGGGTGTGTTTTGAGGGTACCCCTGTTGGTGGTTTTAAAGGGAAAACACGAGGAAACCCGTCGTGCCTTTTTGGGGTTCGAATCCTCAAAAAGACACACCCATGCATCTGGCAACCGTTGATTGGGTGGATTGGATAGGTGATTTGGAACTGGCTTCGAGATAGGATATTCTGCCAACCCAAACCTTCCATTTACCTAAGTCCCCAGGAACAAATAGCATGTTTCATGTAGTGATAGATGCCCTTTAACTTTAAAACCATCCTGGGAAAATTACCAAACAAACATAAGAACATGAAAGAAACAATACCAACAAACAGTGTGGTCAACTATGATTTCCCCGTTGGACGGATTTTGCAACCATCCACAATATGAGTGTGCCGTTTGTTGGGATTCGGACCCACGAAATAGCGCAGTTCGGCTTTCCTCTTGGTTTCAGTAGGACATTCTGCCAAACCAAACCTCCCTTTTCCGAATACGTCCCCAGAAAGAAACAACACATACTTCCAGTGATAGATGATGGATTCCCATTGAAGCCAACAGGGGAAACAAATAAATAATCTCAAGCAAATGGAAGAAGCAACAACAGTATTAAGCAAATTCACATGTCCAGTTGCGATAGATTCACTTACAAAACCAACGGGGGGAATCAACCATATATCATATATCTAACAAACGTTGTGGTTTCAACCATGGTTTCATTTCGTGGTGCGACGGATTTCGCAACCATCCACAGGGCTCACATGATATCAATTCAGAAGGCACAAATAAACATATGTCCAGTAGTGACAAATAATGCATCCCCTTTAAACAGAACAGGGGGCAACAACCAAAAGCAGGCGATGGAAAAAACCGCCAACAAACCAATGGAAGAAGCCAATGATTTATAAACCAAAGGATTCACCCGGGGTTCAAACATATCTAGGTCCTCCAGTAGAGTGGTTAGAATAAGGGTGCCCTTTTTTCTGTAGTCTATTCCAGTAGGTTTGACCCCAAAAAAAGAAACGGCAAAAGGGCACCTAGCTGGGGGACCTACCTGGACCCTGAAACAACCCACAACAAAGGGAATAGCCCCATTATTTTGGGGCAATAAGTATTTGTAAGGGAATTGTGAGGGTCCAGGGCACCTAGCTGAAGAAACACCTGAGGCGGTCAACGGTCAACGCCTCGGTGAGTTTTGGGTCCGAGGCGCCGAGAGGACGAAGCCCCCGGCCGCCCCCGCGGCGGTGCCCACCACCACCGTGGCGGCGGAGACGATCTGATCCGACGTGGGGCGGGCAGCGGTCGGGGGGGCACTCCGTGAAGTTGAGAGACCCCGGGATTCTAGGGGTACCTTCCATTTCCATTCTTTCACAGGCTTCTTTCCAAAAACCTCCAGAACCATCAGAACCCACAGAAACGGCTTGCCTCCAAAAGTGGTCTGAATCCCCACTAAAAGGAATTGGACACCCTCAATCAAAATCAACCGGGGGTTCATTAATCCGGGGGTAACATTGGTGGAGACATCCGGGGGTTCTGTGGGCACCCTTGTGAGGCTTGTTTGTTTTGTTTATTTTGGTTTTGTTTTGTGAATCATCTTGTCAGGCGGACCCTGTTGTCCAAAGATAAACTGAAAGTAATTGTAGAACAACGAATCGTGAGGTTGGTTGGTTTAGGTTGTTTTTTGGGATTGGTGAGGTTTGGTTTGTTTTGGTTTGGCTGGTTGGTTAGCTGTCTGCTTGCTTTTGTTGCCATGAGTATCTGTTGGTTTTAGGGATACTTGCAGGGTTGGGCGATTCAACCTGCTCAAAACATAGTGCCACCAAGCTCTTTAAACCACTGTCAAAGAAACCAATTACAGTATTGGAAAGTAGTATTTGGTGGGGTATTTGGCAAATATAAATTCCTGCTTTCCATGAAACCTCTCGGTTTTCAGTGGCGGCAAACAAAGGGTGTGAAGAACATTCGCAATTTTGTCTGGCCTTGTATGCTTCTGAACAAGCATCGCCATGATCCTGAACAAATGCACCAAGAGAAAAACGTCCGTGCTGAATCATGAAGGTGAGCCACAGGTTGCATGTGCCACCAGCAAGCTGGCATATAGGGGGCGACAAGGAGCCACCAAGCAAGAATCTTTAGTACATGGCGGCTAGACTTACCAATCCGCATAACTTAGGCCCGCAAGGATAGGATTATCTTGTATCAGGGAACCCGACTAAAATGGGTGTTTTATTGCGTTTGTTTCCCTAACTCTAAAAAAACATACCCGCCAAAGACAAACCCTGCGTCCAGTCTTCAGGCCCTGTACCGGCTTGACCGCATCCATGGGTATTTCGTTGGAAACAATTGGGTGTGCCGTTTTTCGGGCACCGAGTTCTTGGAAACCGAGAGTAAACCAGCCAAATTGAGGCTTCCAGAGACAAACCATAACTCACATACGCAATTGGGTTGAACTCCTACCTTGTTGGTGTTCAGCAGGCAATGAGAAATGACTATTATAAACCACCCCTTTTCAGGGAGCCCACATTCCATACCTATCGCAGCAAGTTACTCTCCCAATCGTTTCTACCTCCCACTTCAGCCGCCACGCTCTTCCTTGGCCCTACCCTGCAAGGCCTCTCGGATGACCGGATGTGTCTATGTGCAACCAGGTCTGCAATTGGTTAACTTTCTTGTAACGACCCCTCGCAAGTGAACCACTTGGGTCCAAGTCGGAAACTCCAATTCGTTTCCCACGTAACTGGCACCAAACTCGTCTCACGCGGACAAATGAACATACAAATCCAGGGCGTTCAGAACACCCAAGCCTGGGGTATGAGCCATATGGGTCAAAATTAAACCACCAGAAAAAAAATAAAAAGAACAAAAAAACGCTGGCTTTAGTCTTTAGTTCCATTTACGAGGGTTCCCAAAATGAGTACCCTTCCTCCAACTAACATGGCACCTATGGGGAGGTACCTGGAAGATGAATTTTCTTTTGAAGGGACCCCCTGTCAGTTGCCATGTTAGAGGAGAGTACCTATTTCTGAGCCACAACCATTTAGGCAGAGGTCCACTGGGTGGGTCAAAATATGGTTTAAACACCACCTTTACAAGGGAAGACTCATTCATAACCAGTGGTTTAAACATGTTTAAAGCAATGTGTGGCCCCACCCTAGAGGTCCAACCCCGTCGCGCCCGTCTTTCAGCGGACCCCGGGCGACCCGGCCATCCCGGCGCCGCCGAGCAGTGCGGCCCACTTGCCGCCGGTCCAGCCCAGGGCGGTGCCCATGCAGGACAGGCTCAGCACAATCAGCAGGTTCCTCGCTTGGAAATTCCACCAAACCCAACCAAACCAAAGATGAAACCAAACCAAACCAAACCAAGCCAAACCCAAACCCAAACCCAAACCCAACCAAACCAAGCCAAACCCAAACCCAAACCCAAACCCAAACCAAACCAAAACAAACCAAAACAAACCAACCAACTGGATGCTCAGTGATTCAACTTACGAATCAACCAAAACCCAAACCCAACCGAACCGAGCCAAAATTAACCAAACGATTCCACACAAACCAAGCGAAACAAGCCAACCAACCAACCAACCAACCAACCCACACGCCAACCAAGTAACCAACCTACAAAACATCCAACCATCCAACCAACCAACCCAGCCCAACCCACCAACCCACAAGCCAACCAAGTAACCAACCTACAAAACATCCAACCATCCAACCAACCAACCCAGCCCAACCCACCAACCCACAAGCCAACCAAGCAACCAAGCAACCAACCCACCAAACAGGCAACCATCCAACCAACCAACCAACCAACCAACCAACCAACCAACCAACCCCTGTCCCACCAACCATGGCAATAGCATGTAATCACCATGGTAGCAGGCTGGCTTTGATATGTGTTCAAGATAGGTACCTGGACATGGCGTTACCGTTTGTCCGTTTGGTTTCCAAACAGTACCTCGAAGAAGCACGAGTGTGGTCGAACCGGGCCAATCCATTGGCTCGCCCCATCCCGAAAAAGAACAACAACTAGGTCCTCCAGTAGAGAGGGTAGAATAAGGGTACCCTTTTTCTGTAGTCTATTTTAGGAGGGGACTCCCCCACAAAAGGAGTGGGGACAACGAGTCAAAGCATGAGCATCTTCTGCAGCTAACAAGGTCAATGGGAGGGGGGGGGAAGGGGGGCGAGCATGGAACTTGAACATGCTGCAACACATTTCAGGCACCTACAAAGCCACCCAAAAGGCTCCCAGCCGAACGGGCTTGTATTGAAATACGCAGATCCCTGCTAAAAGTCTAACGCTTACTGGGATAAATGAAAACCCGACCACTAAACCAACTGAAAAGCTAAAAAGGGGGATGTCCGGAAGCCACCAAGAATAGAGGGACCGCAAAAAACATTGTTGTTTTCCATGCTTCTCCTTCACGTTGCCTGTCGCCGCTTGTTGCAGGACCATCCAGTTGAAACCCTCATGCAACAAGGGGTTTTGTGGAGGATCACCCCAGGTCAACCCTCTTGCCAGCTCCCTTCCGACTTCCCCCGGCCGAGCGACCAATATGGCGATGGGACCAGACCGTCAGTGTAGCCTGCGGACGTGCAGCCATGATTGGGTGTGCAAATTCTTTAACATCATGCGCGCATGCGTGTGTGTGTGTGTGTGTCAGCTGTGTTTATGCCAGGTTCAACGAGAAAGCTGAACTCACAACGCTGCCCATGAATTAGGGTGAGGGCAAGCAAATACAACATCACAGGAATTTGATGAAGAATTGCTCTCAGGCGGAACATCTTGGTGCTGTTCTTTGTGGGGTCTTCGCGTTGCAGCCCTCTGGCTCAGCGCTTTTTGGATTTGGCCCACCGCTACGGATCAAGGATCGGCCTTTCGCGGCATTATCTGGGCGAGCGAGCGGGCAGCCGCGATAGGCGAGCTTACGCAAACCTTACGCGACTGCCTACGCCTGATTTCGCACCCGCTGCGTGGCAATCTCTGTGGTTTAAAGATTCAACGGCCCAGGCACTCAACAACTTTGCAAGCAGTCACGACGCAGAGCTTACGCGGGCGCTTACGCAGCATGTTTCCCCAAAAAAGCGATTGCGCCGTGCAGGGTCTTGCTTTCGCGGAGCCTTCCCATGATGACAGAACTCTTGCTTGGTATGCAAAGGGGGATTTTAGATCTGCTCAACTTGCACTTAGCTTGGGCCTCTTGTTTTCTTGACCCGAAATGACTCATATCGACGCGTATTGGATATCGGAAAGACCTGATGTATTTCAGACGAATGTGCTCAACACTGCCATCCTGAAAGCATCTATCTCTCAAGGCAGTTTGCCTTTCGCATACTTTAAGATCCCAGTGGATCCCAGCTACCGGAATAGCAGGCAACCACCCGTTCTCCTTTTGGTCTTTAAAGGGTGGCAAGCCTATCAAGAGAAATGGACTCACTGGTCATCCCTCCCGGCCTGTCAATGTGGTCAGCTGGCTCGTGTCCGAGGCGTCGGGATTAGCATCGCAAACCATCAGCTTCTTTGTTGTATCCTCACAGTCCGAAAGAATTGGAATGACCCACAAGAAAAACCATCCCAACTGGTGGTTTCCTTTAAAGGGATCCTTATGTTCATCCTCAAAAACTTGCTGGTTCTCTAAGCAGGGAACTGGAAATGGAATGATCCGCATGAACAATCCAACTGGTGGTTTCCTTTGTTCGGGAATCCCCAAACGGTTCATTCCCAACACGCGGACTCCGTCATTCCGACCTATCACACCAGCAAGAAAAACAATGCATCAAAATGACGAAAAGACGAGCAGGGGTCTCTCGAGATAGCTTTCTTTTGGAGGGTCCCGAAACCAAACCGCCATATCTCTACTTTCGAGACCCCCCCCCAACTGTTCTAGGGGTAACTTCCCCATTCTTTCCAGGGATCCCTTTTTCTAGAAAACCAGCAAACACCCTGGGAAATGGCTGGTTTTGAAAAGAATGGGGAATCAACCCCCAGAACTGTACCAAAACAGGAAGAACAACAAGTCAGGAAGTCGATTTGCCAAGTATCTCGAAAGAGGCCCTTCTCCAACAGCACCTGCTGGATGCGGCAAACCTTCCCGTTGGCGATGGACACAATGCCTTCGAAGCAAACGGGTCTCTGCAGGGGGAGGGTTCTTTAAAGTCTTTAGATAATGGACCCGTTTTGAAGGGAAACCAAAAGGAAACGACCCGGTTTTGGGGCTCCCCGGTTTTGAGAAACACCCTTGTTTCTGCAAGTGGTTCGAGAGCTCCATTCCTCGGAATGCTCCACTCGCCATTTTACTGGTGAATTTAGATGGCACAGTTTCATTTCTTTTGTTGTTGCGGATGACCGTCCACCATGTCCTTTCACCACCAATCATTAAGATGTGCCCCAGTACAAGCAGCAGTGGTTGGGACCCGGGTGCAAGCGCACTTTCACCCCACAAGTCCTTTGCCAAGGCGCGAACTTGCAGACGTTGCGACACATTGGCTCCGTCGGCCAAGCCGTCTCGCACCTGGCACCCATTGAGACATGTGATCTGACGGAGTGCACAGTTACAAGAAACATGCGCAATGATTTTGCTCTATGGGATGTTCTCACAATGGTTCCTTATGGTGAGCTTCCTTTGGATTCCCTTACACAGCTGAAAAGGGTGGACAACCTCGGAAACACAGTGTGCTCTATGGCAGAGTGTTCGATGTCGCTTTGTCTTGGGGCACCTCTTTTCAAGAGAAACCACATTAAAACCAAACAAAAGGGTCCCCCGTTTAAAGACACACACAGCCTCTAGTTCGACTGACGAAAATCACGTCCGCTGCCTTCATCACAGAACCTTGTACGCTAAAGACGGCTTATTCCTGCTGACGACGGCCTAGCCAAGGAGTCGAAACATTGAAGTCGAAACATGTTCTTTACGATTCGGTTGTTGGACTTTAGATACTCTCCAGCGCTTGGTGTGATCAAATAGCGGAAGCGCGCAAACCACTCTGCCTATAATACGCAAAAAGAGCCAAACCAGCAATGGCACGAAGCACAAATTGTGATCACGATGCAGAGACATCATTAAATAAACCCTTGCAAATTAACATGGAACCCAACAAAATGGGCTCCCCAAAAGAAGACTCCTCTACCAATTGACGTTTGTTTGATTCCATGTTGCTGTGGGGAATCCAGATTGACCATGTGTAATGACGTCTCCTAGTGGATCCTGTGAAGCTGGTCAGGGTGTCAAACAAGCGGGCTCAGTGTACTCCTTTATCGTAGTATGTCTCACGAATGTTCGTGTTACGGGCGACCTGGTGCGATTGCTGTGGAAAGGGCAGGGTTTGATTGAATGCCTGCATGTTTGCTGGTTTGAACGAATCTGAAGTGGCGATCATTTGCTGGACACCACATTCGGAAATGCATGCAACCACCAACCAATTTTGAGGGTAAGCAAACAATCTCCCGAAGCCGACGTGTGGAAAATCGGGATCCCTTTCTATACCAAACCACGCAGGTTGCTGGGATAAGCTGGAGACCTCCAGCAAGTACTCTCCACGCAGTTGCCGAACCCCCCAGCTGCCTGCAAAGTGACATCCCCAAAACTAGCCAAGTGCTTCAAATGCAAACCGCCCCAGTAATTGTCAGAGCCCCTTGAAGAAAACAGCCGCCGTTTTTCAGGGACGCGCAATGACCAAACACATCCGAGTTCACCTGCTCGCGGGCTTCGGCATCGTTCCCATCCGCGCAGTCGCCGGATGCATCGTTGCTGTTGGAGAGAACCACAGGCGAGCCCACGTCGTTGGAGCCGATCTGCTCCATTTTGAATATGGCCTGCTGGAAAGACAGGTTCCCAAAAATGAGGCAGTGACACCAATCAACCCTGGCTTTAAATTTCAATCAAAACCGGGCCGAAATCACAGTGAAAATGACCACATTGGCCGATCTTGGTCCCGACGCATGGGGAGCTCACAGAATCAAAATAAACTCAGAGAACCCGTGGAGGGGGGGCTTCATAAATGGCCGATGGCTTGCACTGCAGGACAATCATGTGTAGCATCCAAAAGGAGGCCATTTGCTAGAACCCACTCGGGTCGCCCTCACGCTACAATTTCCTGGTTGCACATGCCACTGGCAGGTCCAAAACGGGAAAATTGACACACACTGAGTGCATTTCTAGTGACAAGCATCTCGAGACTCGAGAAGTCGGGACATCTAGTCTTGTCTCTGATTGCAAAATGTTCGACTCCCAAAACGATAAATACATAAGCAACATATATATATATATATATAGTGAGAGTATGTATCTATATATACGTATAATAGCTATTGGGATTCCCTTGCCTGCGACTTCAGCATGGATTCCACTGGATGACTGAAACCAAACTGCAAGTGCCACCAATCAGGCAAACTAACCTAAGGACAACTACAAAATGCAACAGCAGGTTGATCCAAATGATATGAAGAACGCGCCCAGCAAAAGGATATTCTTGAAACACAAGGCATTCTGAAGGTGTTCCACGAACATCAGGGCAATGTGAGTGATAGGACAAATTGATCCAGCTGCCTTTGAGACGAGTCAACCATGTCAACCCCCGATCAAAGCCACCAATTCAAGGTGCTCCATGTCCCCAATTGTCACGACCAAATGCCAGTCAGTACACTACCGCGCTTTCGGTTGAACAGAACACTCCCGCTTTGACGTCGGCCAGAATCCCGATCAATTCAAAAACATCCCTCTCCGCCCAGAATCTATAAGCAAGCTTGAATAGCCGAAACCCATCAACTGGTGCTTGTTCAAATAAGACGGAGCCACTGTTTAGCAGCTTGCGCAAACTATCAAGGTTCAAGCTCATGCAAAGCACAAGTGAGCGCGTGGTTCATGAGCGGCTCGTGTGCTTCGCTCTGGCTGTCTCTCGGACACATGCCTTAGATCCGAGTCATTGTAAAAGGCATCGTAGCATAAAATAACATTCAGGCAGCTTACAAAGCATGCAGGCGCAGAAGCACATATTCGCCAATCCTACAAGTACTAGAACAAAAAAACAGCTAAGTCTCAAAATCAAGTTCACATGACAATGCCAGCCTGGTGTCACAAAATGGCCCTACAAAATTAGCAAAAGCATGAGGCGATGAACAAAAAAACAAAATCCTTGACTCTCAACCGACAAGCTTCCGCACGTGTTGCCTAAGTGAATTGGCCAAACCTTGGCAACTGTGGGTGTGTCTCCCAGGGGTACCTTCAAAGCGGGGGTGGTATCTTGTTGGTTTGACTTTAAACAAATGGTACCCTCAAGTGGCAATACACTTATCTATCTTAGTGACCTTCCCCAAGCTGATTTCGAGTGGAATTCAGGGAGTGAGCTTGCGTTACACTTTCAGACTTTGTGCACTAAGGACAAATTTGCTATTGGGACACATTGAGGGCTGGGCCCAAGCAATTCTTTCGTTCGCATGTCCGGATCCTTGAGGCACCTAGCACACCCTCCAAACCCCCAACTTGCCTGCGTTCTAGTAACCCAAAAGCAGTTGTTGGGACCCGTCTGCTGGTAGAGACCTTCCACGAGTGTGCACAAGTGTAAGTTCCAGGATCCCTAAAGAACGACCCCCCCCCAATTTGTTTGGCCCCGTCTCGGTTCACAGGCGTGCCTCGGGGGGCATGGCGCCATCCCTCACCAGGCCAAGGCCTCCCTCCTCGGTGGGCAAATCCAGGTCGCAGATCAAGGCGCCGGCCTTCAGTTTGGTCTTGCGGTCGTCTTGGGTCAGCACTCCTCGGCGAAGTACCCAGACCAAAAACCAACAAAAGGCGAGAGCGGGTTTGTTGAACTGGCCTGCCTTTTTTCAATTTGTCAATCCCCTTGGTACGGTAACCAAAAAGCAGTGCTTAGGTGCTGGTAGTCAGCCGAATGGTTCTGTGAACCCTAAGAACCGCTAAGGCTCTAAGTTTCTTTCCTGCGTTGGGGGGCCTGTGAGTCATGGAAGTCTGCTGCTGGGGAAACAAAGATACAGCCGGACAGCGCGCAATTTGGACGTCCCAACGCAGCAAGGATAGGCTTCAGATGCACGGCGAGAAATATGGCAGTCCAGTTTGGCCCCTCCGGGGACTCCCCCGAGTCTGGGCCTCCCTATTTTGATGTTGCCGCAATATTGCCTTCTGGTTAGCGGATATCAATTCACTGGCAGGCGTGTGCAACAGAAGTTCCCCATCAGTTACATACGCTTTCCCATGCAATAGGCCACATCCCTCAACACTGCTCTGAGGTCGCACCGCCTTCGAGCTCGTGCACGCTGAGGGTGAAAGATCCCCAGACCTCGATGGATCCTTCGGTGCCCCACCTTTCGCCCGCTCTCCAGACTAATTTTGCTGGGTGGTCATACTCTTGCAACCAATCTCGGTCACCAAGCCGGCGATGCAACTGATGATGCCCAGGCTTGTAGCTGCGGTAGCCTCTGAGCACGAAAGTATTGAACTTCGGCTCTGAAAAACTCCACGAGACAGCGATTCGCGGAAATCTGACAAGAAACGATGAGGCTTCTGCTCCAACCTAGCCCCCAAACACGGCAGGCCCCAAGGATTTCATCGGCGTTGGAGAGCCATGTTCGACAAACAGGATGGCGCTTCCAAATCGCCTCGGGGCCCTTCCAGGAGCTTCGAGACGCCGCCCCTTTGAGAAGCCATCTTGCTTTCGGTGAAACGTGAAGATTTGAAACCCGCAAGAACGGCTCTGGGCGCTCTGACTAGTTTCCGCAGATCCCGGCCGCAGAGGTCTGCAAGCCTGTGAAGGCACGGAGTCTTCTGGGCCAAGGAGCGATGCGCAATATCAATTAAATTTACTCACAGAGTTGAAATTGCGTGACAGGTGCTGCACATTGGGAAGGTAAGTCGCGCGACCTGCAAATTGCATTGGGGTGGACGTCCGTGGCAGGCGCATGATTTTCGCACCTTGAGGTTCAGATTTCGTGGCAAGCGAGTACAGATTTCGTGGCAGGCGCAGCACTTTCGCAAGGTCAAGTACAGATTTGGTGGCAAGCGCAGCACTTTCGCAAGGTCAAGTGCGGATTTCTTTGGAGGCGCAGCACTTTCGCAAGGTCAGGTGCAGGTAGATAGATAGAGAAATAGAAGAGAAGACAAGAGAAAGAACAGAGAAGAGAAGAGCAGAGAAATAGAAAAAGAAAGAGAAAGAGGAAGAGAAAGAGGAAAATAAATAGAATTAAATAGAGTAAAAACAACACGAGATGTTCAGAGCAGAGAAAGAAGAGAAGAGATGATACGAAACCAAATGATCTCCTATAGGCTCATTATTGGTTTGAAACTTCCGTCTTCCAGCTTTGCTGGAGCATACCTGGTACTGGTGGCAATGCCTGCGTCCTCCATATTATGTTTTGGAGCTCTATCTGGTCGGATTGTCTCTGCTAGATTGGTACGCATTTCAATTAGGGCACGTCACGAGTATGCCTAGTCGTCTCTGGTCCACTACTGACCGATCTGACCGTACATAACAAAAAAAAAAACAGCGCTTAATAACTGGACTAAACGAAGCTCTATAGACTGGTTCCTGTGGTTCCGGGCAACATGAGGGTTGACCCACAGCTGACTACAACGCGTTCAGAGGCAGGATGACCCACAATCAGAACATGGGATGTTCCCTTCCTGCACAAGCAAGCCGACTGAAGCTCTTGCAATAGGCTTACCCATCTTGGTCAAGGCTTTCAAGCTCAGTGTCCAGGCTTCCGATGTGAGGAGAGACATGGCACAGGATGGCATAGGCACACGCTCTGAACAAGCACATCCTGCTGACAAATCACACAACCACCATCAGTATTTGGCAGCGATAGCTAGCAAACCGCTTCGCTTTGCCATAACCAGCACACGGAAACTCCGGGCAAAAATTCCCTCTGCCTGAATGCGGGTGTTCCATTTTCGCAGGAATCATTCACTTTTTGGGGGACACCCACCTTCAATTAGTCCACCAGATTCATTTTTCGGTGTCACCATTGCAAAAGCCGAGTCTCTGCACCACTGCAAATTGTATCCGCCCCGGATGCCGATCTGCTGCTGGTTCCTCTTGCGAGCCTGAGTCGATGAGGGAGACGAGGTGGTGTGTCAGAAACCCTGCTGCGGAACGCCCCAGCCAGCGGAATGTCAAGCCCATGTTCTACCTCAGGGCATACGTACATCGCACTCTCAAGACCCTCAGCTCGAGCCTCATAAACTACTTGAGCTTCAGGAAGAATCGAGTGCTGTCTTTACACTGTCGGGCTCCAATTGGTTAAACCATGTTGACAGCTGATAGTACAAACGAGACTTGAACGAATTCAGCACTAAATCAAAGTTCTATATATACATATACAATATAAGTACGTATACTTTATAATTTACTAAGTGCGCCGTGAGTGAACTCAACTTGCGCAATGTGTTGAGCAGGCAAACCGACGTGGCTCAGGCACTGCATTCCACACCGGCTTCAGCTCCACGATCTCAAACTCGTAGCGTGCGTCCACTCCGTCTCCAACCTGCGCACCCGAGTCACTCTCTTGCCACTTCAGCTGCGAAAAGATCTCCGAATTCAAGCCAGCGCATACCAGCCTGGATAGGCGCACACACAAATCATGCAATTTCCTGGAATTTTCGCACCACGTCTGCTTTCAGAGCCTCAGCCGTTAAGTCAGTGCACCAAAAAAACCGCCACTGTCGTTCGCAATGCCCCGCCTCGTCCGGATCGTTGTCATCCATGATGTTGCTGGAGTCACAGCGCACCCCGACTGCGAAGGACTTCTCCGGCGTACTTCCTGCCATGGGGAGGGCGGCTAGAACAATTGCCCAAAGGACCTGGAACCAAAAAGTTAACATTTGGGGACCATGACGAAATCTGGACCAAACATGGAAAGCCAAAAGGTCGAAAGGTGGGCTTTGAAAAACTGAGAAATGTGGGTCATAATCAAAACCCTTTGCATTAAAATGGTCGCAACCCCAGAACCATGCTTGAAGAATTAAGAAGGCGGATATCCGCCATATCCGCCACTATTTATGGCTGGGAGTCTTCCTTACGAACCTCCGTCTTCCCGGGTTTTGATTGTGGCTCATGTGACGCTGTCCTTCAAGTTTCCCTTTCAAAAGGGTAGCCTTGCAAATTGAAAAGGACCCCCCCGTTTTATCTGTCGTGCATGAACATGCCCTTCCACCAAAGCGTGGAAAACCATCTGAGCAGCGCATGCTTGCCATGAGCGCCACGGATTTCTTGGGATGTGTCTGGAAGGGCCCGAATGATTCTGCTAGCAAATGCTTGCTACTAAGACAAAAAACAAGTGAGAAGACCAAAGGGCAAACAATGGCAAACATGTCGTAGGCGTTGCTATGGAGGATTTCAGGCCTGAAAGAAAAACGACTTGTGGGCGTCGACACTCCGGCCTGACTTCCACATGTCCTTGCAGAATTTCGAGGTTCCAGAAGTGGGGTCTATCCCTGCCATATTCACAGAGAAGCGGGCAAACATCGTGCGCGCCACCTTTGCCGCCAAGGACAACACGATTCCAGGACTGCCGCCTCAGCGAAAAACCGGCCTACCAAGCACCTCTTTCGTGGTTGCTGGCCGTCCAACGGGGGCCCTTGAAATTAAAAACAGGCCAACTTGACTGTCACAGCAATATCACCGCAGAAATTTCGACGCAGACTTTCGGCTCGAACCTTGGGACAGTGTAACTCACTTCCTGGGTGGATGGGCAAACGAAGGCACCAGACTTTTCATCTACACCACCAAAATGGCAACCAAACCACGAAGTGGCAAACATAAATAAATCTGGGTTCGTTCCCATACCGTTCGAACCTCTGGGTGTGGTACCGGTCAGTGAGGTATCCTGGTTCTGACTGCTGCTGATCTCCTGGATTTCGAGGTAGTCAGCCTGTGTTGCCTGGGATCAACGGCTCTTTTTCAAAGCTCAGATTCTCCCAAGTGGCTTGGACTTTTGGATTTGGAGTTGGACGCCTTTTTTCCGATGTCCCCCCCCCAATTGGTGGTTTGGAGCCCGGTATGGGAAATCACCCCGGAACACCACCAAATCACGAATCCAAACCAGCAACTAGAGTGAAGCTGATCGGTGCCCTGCTTTAGTTTTGTTTGACAGGGAAGTCAAAAGGAAACCGTACATCTCGGGGGTTGCGACTCCTATTTGGAGACAACAGATGTTTTTGGCAAATGCTCTCGGGATCCCCGCAACAGGCTCCAATGGTACATGGTGGGATGGGGGGTGTTCCAAATCCCTGCATTCCATGGAGGCCGATCTCCAAGTTCACCCAGGGAACGGCAAATTTTGCCCAGGAAACGTTACACGCCATAGATGAAATCTAACACAAGATCCACTTGCAAAGAGAGCATGGCCAACAAACAGGTGCTCGCATGTTGCAACTTGGCACATGGCACACTTGGTGGCCTCTTCAAAATGCGGGAGGGTTGGACCTTTTTCGGGCAAGGAACAACTGCAAAGCTGGTTTGCATCCGCTTTTTAGTGGGGTCTGAACATGAAGCTGGCTGCAGAAAACAAACAACTCCATGAAAGCGGTCGGCTCTTGCCACCTAGTGGCCAGAATTTGCAGGTTCACCGCCCGGACCTTCTGGCACTTCTTCAGAGGCGGCAGGTCGTAGTCTTGCGTCGCTTCGTTCCAGACTCCCCTCGGCGCAGGTAGACGCGGCAGTTTTGTTGCATCACCCGCAGAGCACAAAAGCTCCACCCACGTTGGAAGCTGAAGCCAAGCACCATAACAATGTAGTATTACACGTGTTGCGTAGACTCTTGGTACTTACGCTTTCAAAAATGCGATGCTTGCACTGTTGCTTTTGTTGTTTGTTGGTGGATACTTTTGTAGCTCCTGCAGGACGCAGACTGGTAGTGACAGCCGCCACTGCCACCACGGGCCTTTAGGCGAACCGGTTGATACTATTGGTATTGATGTTGCTGTTGTTGTTGCTGCTGTTGCTGCTGGTGTTGTTGTTGCTGCTGCTGCTGTTGCTGTTGCTGTTGATGTTGCTGTTGCCGTTGCGGTTGCTGTTGCTGTTGCTGCTGCTGCTGTTGTTGCTGCTACTGCTGCTGCTGGCGATGTTGGTCGTGTTGTTGTTGTTGTTGCTGCTGCTGCTGTCGCTGTCGCTGTTGCTGATGGTGTTGTTGCTGTTGCTGTTGCTGTTGCTGTTGCTGTTGCTGTTGCTGCTGCTGCTGCTGCTGCTGTTGTTGTTGTTGTTGTTGTTGTTGTGGTTGTGGTTGTGGTTGTGGTTGTTGCTGTTGCTGTTGCTGTTGCTGTTGCTGCTGCTGCTGCTGCTGCTGCTGTTGTTGGTGTTGTTGTTGTTGTTGTTGTTGTTGTTGTGGTTGTTGTGGTTGGTGTGGTTGTTGTTGTTGTGGTTGTTGTGGTTGTTGTGCTTGTTGTGGTGGTTGTTGTTGTTGTTGTTGTTGTTGTTGTTGTTGTTGTTGTTGTTGTTGTTGTTGTTGTTGTTGTTGTTGTTCTTGTGTTGTCGTTGTCGTTGTCGTTGTCGTTGTGGTTGTGGTTGTGGTTGTTGTGCGTGTTGCGGTTGTTGTTGTTGTTGTTGTTGTTGTTGTTGTTGTTGTTGTTCTTGTTCTTGTTCTTGTTCTTGTTCTTGTTCTTGTTCTTGTTCTTGTTCTTGTTCTTGTTCTTGTTCTTGTTCTTGTTCTTGTTCTTGTTCTTGTTCTTGTTCTTGTTCTTGTTCTTGTTCTTGTTCTTGTTCTTGTTCTTGTTCTTGTTCTTGTTCTTGTTCTTGTTGTTGTTGTTGTTGTTGTTGTTGTTGTTGTTGTTGTTGTTGTTGTTGTTGTTGTTGTTGTTGTTGTTGTTGTTGTTGTGTTGGTAACGGGCACATAACGACCCGTACGTTTTCGTGTATTTTTCATCAAAAACCCGTTTTCTTCCTCAACATGACTACATCGCGACCATCGACTACACGGACTACTATGCAAGAACTCAGACGCAGAGCATCAGTGGAGAAGCTCATTTTTGCAAGGGCTACATCGAGACCATCGACTACACGGACTTCTATGCAAGAACTCAGAAGCAGAGCGTCAGTGGAGAAGCTCGTTTTTGCAAGGACTACATCGAGACCATCGACTACACGGACGGACTACTATGCAAGAACTCAGAAGCAGAGCATCAGTGGAGAAGCTCAGAAGCCTGGGGAGAAGCTCAGAAGCTCACCAGCGCAGCATCAGGGGTATTTACATATATATATATATACACGGTATAAGTCTCTGTGTGTGTACACATGCCTGCCAATTGGTAAGCACAGCGGTTCAAGTGCACCCGCTCAGCACTGTATCCATGCCTGCCAAATGGGAAGCACGCCCGTGCAAGCGCGCCCGCTCAGCACTGTATCTCAGGTGCGCCCGCTCAGCACTGAGTCCATGCCTGCCAAATGGTAAGCGCACCCGCTCAAGTGCACCCGCTCAGCACTGTATCCATGCCTGCCAACTGGTAAGCACACCCGCTCACGTGCACCCGCTCAGCACTGTATCCATGCCTGCCAAATGGTAAGCACACCCGTTCAAGCGCACCCCCTCAGCACTGTATCCATGCCTGGCAAATGCTAAGCACACTCGCTCAAGTGCGCCCGCTCAGCGCTGTATCCATGCCAAATGGTAGCCAAATGGTAAGCACACCCGCTCAAGTGCACCCGCTCAGCACTGTGTTCATGCCTGCCAAACGGTAAGCGCACCCGCTCAAGCGCACCCGCTCAGCACTGTGTCCAAGCCTGCCAAATGGTAAGCACACCCGTTCAAGTGCACCCGCTCAGCACTGTATCCATGCCTGCCAAGTGGTAAGCACACCCGCTCAAGTGCACCCGCTCAGCACTGTATCCATGCCTGCCAACTGGTAAGCACGCCCGTTCAAGCGCGCCCGCTCAGCACTGTATCTCAAGTGCACCCGCTCAGCACTGTGTCCATGCCTGCCAAGTAGGCACACCCGTGCAAGTGCACCCGCTCAGCACTGTACCCATGCCTGCCAAACGCTAAGCACACCCGCTCACGTGCACCCGCTCAGCACTGTATCCATGCCTGCCAAATGGTAAGCACACCCGTTCAAGTGCACCCGCTCAGCACTGTATCCATGCCTGGGGTAAGCACACCCGTTCAAGTGCACACGCGCAGCTCTGTATTCATGCCTGGCAAATGGTAAGCACACCCGCTCAAGTACACCCGCTCAGCACCGTATCCATGCCTGTGAAATGGTAAGCACACCAGCTCAAGTGCGCCCGCTCAGCGCTGTATCCATGCCAAATGGTAGCCAAATGACCAGCACACCCGCTCACGTGCACCCGCTCAGCACTGTATTCATGCCTGCCAAACGGTAAGCGCATCAGCACTGTCTCCATGCCAAATCAGAGGGCTTCCCGGGGGGGAGGCTACGTAGTAGGAAAACCTTGCCTTTGGGATTGGGTGGTATGGGTATCGTTTACTGTAGATCTGGTCACTGCTGAGCGCATGCTCCTTTTTTCGAGCAGGATTGCGTTGCAATCTCGCCGCCCCCTAACCGCCCCATTGGCGAAGGATTTCTACAAAATCTCACCACGTCGAGACATGTTGATTCTCTTCGTGGACCAGAGAACCGCGCCCTGAGGCACTAACTGCTTGCCACTGCCACTCTTTTTTCGGCTTCGGCTCACGCCGGGAGAATGGACACGTTGCGCAACTTGACACGGCCACATCGACGAGAATGGACGCTCATGTACGCGCAGGAAATGTACGCGGCGCGCTCCGGAGCACGCAAAACAGCTACACTCAATGCCTGCTCACTTAGTCATCAAAATCGAGACGCTCTGGAGCGCGCAACATATGGGCACCAATGCTGGGAAGCAAGACGTTGGACCGAGCCCCACGCGTGCTACTGCAATTTTTTTAGCTTCTGAGTGATACTGCTCATTGCAAACGGTGTGGCGCACGCAGGAAGCGTACGCGCATCAGCGCGCTCCGGAGCGCGCAACATGGATACCAGCGCTGGGAAGCAAGACGTTGGACGAAGCTTATGCGTGCGCTACAGAAGTGGAGACGCGTTGCTGCATGCAAATAAAACATACGCGTAGCTGCGCGCTCCGGAGCGCGCAACATGGACACCGGTGCTGGACAGAGCCCTACGCGCGTGCGAAAAAAAACAACGTGACTTCTGAGACATATGGCGAAAACGCACACGCGCAGCTGCGCGCTCCGGAGCGTGCAACAAGCATACCAGTGATTCCCAGCGCTGGGAAGCCAGGTGTTGGACGAAGCCCACGTGCATGCTAAAGCTACATTCAATGACTACTGAGTGAGTGATCAAAGTGGAGATGCTCTGGTGCACGCAAGTAAAACGCATACGCCCAGCTGCGCGCTCTGGAGCGCGCAACATGGATACCAGCGGAGGGAAGCAAGACGCTGGACAGAGCCCCGTGCGCGTGGCAGAGCTACATTTAATGACTTCTGAGTCATACTGCTCATTGGAACGCTCTAGCGCACGCTGGGAATGTACGCGCAGCAGCGCGCTCCGGAGCGCGCAACATGGCAAGACGTTGGGTTCACGGGTGCCTGGACTTTCATGATGCGAATCGTCAGGGTGTAAAACGGTTGCGGGATGGAAAGAACACGTGTCCATGCTTCCAGCATGTCGAGGCCAACCTGTGCTCAGCCCCACACGCCATGTGACTTCTCTGCTATCTGCGCGCTGTACGCGACTGCGCAGTCCCATTTTCTTATCTGACACGCTGCCACTTTGCTGCAGGTGGTGTTAGACACCTGGTGTCTAAAAGAGGTCTTCTTCTTGCATCTGAAGGAGCTACCTTCCCGAATGCTCCGCTGCGCTCTTTTGAGTACCGAGCAGGAACAGAAGTTCTGCCAGCAAGTTGTCAGCGCAGCTCATGACTAGTCTGTTTCGCATACACAAGGGCCTGGACAGCTGCATGAAAGTATTGGTGGCATTTTGAAAGTCTCTCTGTACGAGAGTCAAGCCACAGTCCTGGACAAATGAGAATGCTTCGCCTGCCAGCACCACGTATTCTGAGATTCGAATATGCGAATTGGACATTTGCAGACTTTCCTGTGATCCCACCGAAGCCACGATTCACTGCTATTCGCCCTCAACAGAAGCCAAACCCATATTTCATGTTCCTCTGTTGCGAAAGGCGAACACCACTGAACATCATCTTGTCCGGAAGTGCAGGCTGCTGGAGGCCTATCTTTTCAACGGTGCAAAAGGACCGAGTGATACTTTGAATGTCAGACGTTGACAAAAAGCAACCTTCCTGATGCGAGCGCGCCAACGAGGCAAGGGCAACACGATGCTTGTTCCTTTCTTGTCTGGATTGCAAAGGGCGCGCTGAACTTTCAATGTCAAGCGTTATGAAAAACAACTTCCCTGATGTAAGTGTGTCAGTGGGGAAGGGGTCGCGCGTTGCTTGCCCTCTTCTATCTTTTGATCCCGATACGCAATGGACGCTGAACTCCAATGTCAGCCGCTGTCAAAAACAACTTCCCAGATGTGAGTGTGCCGGTTTCTGGCCTGTGGTGTTCCAAGCGGTGTGGTGAAGTCCAATCAGGTTTTGCCTTCCTCCTGAAACCAAAAGAATTAATGAATTTTGAGCATGTGCGTGCAGTGTTCAGGGTGGGAATCTGGCGCCGACCGAAGCGCTTGCACGCAGGCTCCGGTGGCGACGCTGTCCCAAGGTCCCAGAAAAAGCCTTCCAGGCGAAGTACGTGCGGGAACAACATCGGATCTGTCGTTTGTTGGTTGTCTTGATGACGCTTGAGCTGGGAAGGAGGGAAGGACCCCTACACTCAGATGTTGGGGAAGGCCTGTGCCCTCATATCAGGCGTACAAAGAGCGGAGCATCCGCTGGCGCGCGGGGGGTGGCGCTTTTTCTTTGAGGCGTATATAGCGCGGAGCATCCGCTGGCGCGCGGGCGGGGGGCGGCACCTTATATCACGCGTATATAGCGCGGGGCATCCGCTGGCATGTGGGGGGCGCCGCCTTATATAAGGTGTATATAGCGCGGAGCATCCGCTGGCGTGCGGGGGGGGGGCCTTATCTGAAGCGTATGTGGCACGAGCACTCGCGCTATATACGCCGAATATTGCACGGAAGACCTCCCCCCACGTCCAGTAGCCATCTCCGGTGCACAATTTGCTGCGGAACAAGGTGCTCAAATTGTGCACCGGAGATGGCTGCTGGACATGGTAAAGGGTCTTCCGTGCTATATCAGGCGTATATAGCGGAGCGTCCGTTGAGGGGGGGGGGGGCGCCTTATATCAGGCGTATATACGCGGAGCGTCCGCTGGCACGAGGGGGGCGGCGCGTTATATCAGGCGAAAATAGCGCTCGGCCCAACGCAAGTGGCACGGACCATGGCAGGGAAACTTCTGAGATGAAGAAGCTGAAGATATCTAAGATGGGTCTGTTTGTGTTGGAAGCGCCCGTTTCGGGTTAGTTTTCAAAGGAAACTTGTGGGGAATACACCAGACCCCCTTGCCGAGCTTGTTGAGTTGGCGAAAATCATTGGCTTTCCCGGAGTGGAAGCCTTTGATCAAGGCAGCGGTCTGGTCAAAATGTAAAAGCAGTAGTCAAAATGCTTTTGGTTTGCGAGCCTTCAAACTCCTCGAAAGCCCAAGAAACAGGCCCTAAACTTTTCATCAGAGACACGTAGCCTTGTTTCAATGTTTAGGGTAGGTAACAGGGACCTGAGAGTTTCTTCCTTCCCCTGAAGTCCCTGAGGCTAACCTGTTTGATCACTGTTAGCAAATCCAGCAGTTCCCAAACTCTTGACTTGCAATGTGGACCACTTTCTGGTTCCACACGTGTCGGAAGATTCTGCCCAACTGAAGCCGGGGCTTGAGTGGACCTTGGTCAAGCACGAACACGTCGCGCCAGCGACTGACGTGGAGGCTCGTGTGCCTTCGCTTGCTGAGCGACTGTTGCAGGCGAAGCGCTGAGGATTTGGGTTTCGCA